AATAGTCAGGTAGATATTTATACAAGTGAAGCGTACGAAACTCCATCAACATCCTCTGAAGAATATTCAGAGAGGCGGACTTGAGCTTCGAAGAATGAAAGGAAAATCAGTGTTCGCAGGAGAGTTGAAAAGCTCGGGAGAACCGGCAGAACCTGTGAAGGCACTGCGGGCTGCGAAGACAACAAGATTTTCTGGAGAGCTCAGTGTGGTGCACAGTGACAGACAGCACGTAGTTACAGTGGATCCCAGCACCGGGAGCTCGCCCAAGTCTTGGACTATGAACAACATCGTGGGAACGGGAAAGAGAGAGAGAGCTGGACTGTCGATCCGGGGATTGGGATGCAGGGGGTGTCCTTAACTTTCCCTGATTGCACTCGTGGGCGACAGCGTCGCCCATGAGTGCCCTAAGGCGAAGATGAGGGCACCCGCATCTTTGTGCGAGCGGTGGATGTTCAGAAGTGAAGAAGTGCTTGTTGCAAAGGTGGATTTTGAGTTCTTGTGTCTGGTGTCGTGCGATCGGTGTGACTTTGACCGTTGTTGCAATGCGCGGGAGGTTGAAGGCAGCGATGCAGCGACGCGAAGAGCCGTTCATCCGACGGCTAGGCTGCTGTGCAGGGCGGCTAAATGTCCGGGAGCCGCGTGTCATCCTGTGGATGGGTGGGTGCTGGGCGGCGGCCTTCAGCTGCTGCCGTGTGGCGCTTGCTCTTTGGTTCAGGGTGTTAGGGCCTGTGGCCGCATGCTCTAGGCGGCGCAGGCCTGGCGTGTGGCCGTTTCCGTGCGGGGGCAAGTCGACGGCTCGTGCGGAGCCTACTGCTGTGGCGGGGATGGTTGCTGCGGCGAGGTCTCGGCTCTGGTGGGGTCTCAGGCTGAGGGAAAAAAGTTGCCATTTTTAGGGGTATGCGTGAGTGTGCGTATAGGCCGAGAGTTGGATCGATGTGAGTGTGCGTACAGGCCAAGAGTTGGATTGCTGTGAGTGTGCGTAGAGGCCGAGAGTCGGATCGTTGTGACCGTCGTATTTCTGAGAGTGGAAGTGTCACCTTTGAGAGTGAGGGCGTTGAGAGTGAGTGCTGCGGGGGGTTTGAGTGAGAGTGGATGCAGGTGGGCTTGGTTGAAGGGGAGTAGAAACCTGCGAGCGAGGTCTGAGAGTCAAAAAAAAATGGAGTGATGATGTTCTGTTCGGAGAGGGGAAAGGAAGACAGCGAGATTTGGTAGTCTGAAGTGGAGGGTTTGGTGGCCTCAGCCCGGGTGGGATTAGGTCTTGGCAACTGTCGTCAAGCCGATGATTTTGATCCCAACTTTTTGGGGATGCACTATGGTGTTGGCCAAGATTGGCCTTTAAGTTGCTCCGAGGGCGAATAAGTGTGGAAGATGATCGGTGTTTTCATTCTGTCAAGTTTTTTTTTCTCTCTACCAAGGCCAGACCATGAAATGCTGTGCATTGGTGCAGATGTTAGACAGTGTGGCACTGCCATTCCCTTCTATGTAACGGATAGTCTTTGCCGCTTAACAAATGAGCTTGATGAATGATCAGCTCTGCCTCTGTGAGCGCCTGTAGACCTAATTTTGATTGCTGCCGGGGAATTTCCTCTTCCAAAGTGAAGTTTTGATAGATGCTAGACAGTGTCTGGTAGGTAGGACTCTTGGAAGATTGATAAAGATTAGATAAGGTGATGTTGTGTGAATCATGACCCCCACCTGGGTTATAATCGTTGAAGGGTGGGGCGTTGTGGCTTATAGTTAGCAACACAAGTTTTAGCTTGATATTACTCGTGATGTATGTAGATGATATGCTTATTGCTGCTTAGGATAGGTCGGAGATTAAAAAACTCAAAGTCCAGCTCAGTTCTTAGTTAAATATGAAAGATTTAGGTCCTGCTAAGCGTATACTAGGCATGGAGATCCACAAGGATGAATCATCAAGCAAACTTTGATTGACATAGACGCGGTATGCAGAGAAAGTACTTGTTAGGTTTAACATGTCAAATGCTAAAGTTGTAAGTACTCCATTAGCTGCACACTTTAAGCTTTCGGCAGCTTTATGTCCAACTAATGCAATTGCTAAAGAACTGATGTCTTCTATTTTTTATGAAAGTGTAGTTGGCATCATTATGTATCTTATAGTACGCACGAGACCTAATATAGCATATGCAATTGGGAAGGTGACTAAGTACATGTCGAATACCGGACGAGAGCATTGGAAAGCTGTAAAGTGGATTATGAGATATATCAAGGGTTCTCTTGATACTGGATTATTGTTTGATGCACGATCAAACAATGCAAGTTCGCTCTTGGGGTATGTTGATGCTGATTATGGAGGAGATTTGGTAGGCGGAGATCAACAACTGGGTATGTTTTCACTCTTGCTGGTGGATGCATAAGTTGAAGATCTACACTTCAAAAATGCAATTCTCAGTCATCCACAGAAGCTAAATAGGTTGAAGCAGCGGAAGCAGCGAAGGAGGCAATTTGGTTGAACAAGTTGGCCAATGAGATGGAGTTGCCACACAATGATGTGAATCTTTACTGTGACAGCTAGAGCGCACTTCATCTAGCATCAAACAATGTGATGGATGGTAGGGTAAAGCACATTGATATTCGATCTCATTATATTAGACAAGCAATGTCTGATAGTGCACTTAAGCTCATCAAAATTGATGGTAAGCTCAACCCTGCCGACGCATTGACCAAAGTAATTTCATTAGAAAGTTTTTCCAAGCATTGTACAAAGTTGCAAATTTTGCATATGGATAGTTAGTCTAATAACTTTTGTACATGTATTCTCTATTTGGTTTTTTTGCCGCCTATGTCTTAGTTCTAGTTAACTTGTCGGCTATAAAGCGAAAGTGTGATTTAGCTTTACTTTCTAGAACTTCCCGTAGAGATACATGTGGATTACATTAGTTACCTCTCCAATACTTAGTCAAGGTGAAGTTTGCTAGGTAAAATCTATCTTAGATTAACTCTAGTTAGTGGCAACCACAGTTAGAAAGTTAACTGTAGTTAGGTTATGTTAGGTTAGATTACCTTATTTCTTCTTGTATAAAAGAGAGAAGAAGACTCTCTCTACGTACAATTCAGAATAGCAGTGAGAGAGTGAACAGTAAGGAGTAGCGCGTGGCTATGGAGGCCGTGTATACATCGAAGCTTTAATGAAGTATTTGCTCTTGCCCGTGGACGTAGCATGTGGAAGATGAACCACATTATCTCGGTGTTGTGACTGTCGTGCGTGCTAATCGATATGGATGTTTGGGCGTTTCAATCGTAATGGGTGATTTGCGATTCAAATTCATGAAACATTTAGTATACAATGTATATGGTACAATTTCAAGTCTTTCCATAACAAACTATTGGAAGAATCAGTGGCACTTTCTATCCATCACTTTGGTCATAAAATTTGCACCCCAACAAATCACAAGGTACATCCAAAAATGATGTTTCTCCATGCAATAAAAGTGAATATCGAATATGTTAGGAATTGGCTAGTGCGGTAATGGATTGCTGCCAAGTCCGTTCATTTCTGCAAAACCACAATTTACTTCTTTCCAGCTCTCTCTACATGCAGATCAATGACCTCTACCAATCTCTATACACTCTCAAAATTGCACTCTATCATCATTCACTTGTTATCCCATGAGATGTAATACACACTCAAGGAAATAGCAAGATTGCTCTAATATCATTGTAGCACTAGGATTTAGAGATAAATTCACTCAAAGATGAAAACATAAATTAAAAAGATAGAAGATACCAACAATGGTTAAACTCTCCTTTATATAGCTCTCACTAACAAGTACAAACAGATACCATCTTATCTTTATCATCCATAGCACTCCTAGTGGATGAATGACGTGACGGATAACACTTACAAGCACACGGATCGTTGACGTGGCATTGTTAACTAACACACCTACTCTCTATCTACCAAGCGCACGGATCATTGACATGGCAACTATGACTAGTGCACGCTAGAGTATCCATGTCAATATTTAGAGTAACCTCTACTTTAGTTTCAATTAACTAAAGATGGTTACAGCTAAGTACTTTAGCGTAACTTCTTCATTATAAAACATAGACTTAGAATAATATTAAAAATGCTATTGGTTGGAATTTTGTTGTCGTTTGCAACATCATAGCTTTCTTCCAAAGATTTCAAATACGCTTTAACGAAAAGATTTATAATGTGTGTTAGACATCGGTTCCTTGAATCATCTGCGTTTCAAACCTTTGATATTTTTTCATGAATGCAATAATTGACAATAGAGAGAGCTAGAGCTAACACTAGAGTGTCTTTGTTTGATGCATTGTTCATTGTCAAACACCCAACACATTTGACAATTTCAAATTACTGCAATGTTTGTTGTACAATTTTCGCTATTCTAGCTCTGATGTGATCAATCATGTATGTAAAAGCCGAAAGTTTTTCATGAAGAAATATGTACGGCAGAATCACTTTTGGAGAGCTACTTTTTAAATTCAACTTTCATCTTCTTGATACTTTTCAATATGTCGTTACAAAGGCATGTGCTTTCGATATGATCACATTGTCTCGCTTGCATTTGAGAAGTATTTTCAAAAACTTTAAGAATGGTTTTGATTTAATGATAGTGAACGCTTCGGCCTCATAAAGCACAAAATTCTCAATTGTGCACTATAACATAGTTAGAAATAGTTGAGCTTGCTCCTATCTTCTTATGGAGAGGTGGTGGTGGGAACATTTGAGCTCTTCTTTGATGATGGAAGCACAAAGTAGAATTCATATTCACTCATGTCACGTTTTTGATTTGTGCATCACCATATCCAACACTAAATCCAAGTCAAACTTCTCATACCCACCCAGGGAATACTCAACCCAAGAAGCGATCCGGGGTGAAGCCAAAAATAATGATCCAACCAATATTTGGTGTAGGGTTAGTTAATCCACATTTACACAATTTTTTAATACATGGGCGCATTTTTTAGTAGCATGGGTGTTGTAATGCTCAAGTAATGCTCAAGGTGGGTTGATGGTTATGGTTTATGTGGATACATATTTAAAGTAAAATGTTGGATCATTGTGGAGACAAGGGACGTCAAAATCATCCCGAAAACTGACCCGGCACTCGACGAGTCGGCCGAAAGCGTCCAGAGCCCTAATGCACTGCACTGCCATTCTCTCTGCTCCCTCCGGTCGTCGGACGCTTGGCCCTCACGCTCCCTTCAATTCCGTGCCTACCGTCCCATCTGCCCCGTCCCCTGTTTCTTCCCTGGCGATTCTGTCCGTCTGCCAGATTTCTACCGCGCACGCCATCGATCGATCGAAGCAGCCTCCGATCCTGGCGATCGTTCCTCGGGCCGTCGGGGGCTTGGTCGGGGCAATTATCCATGTTCTGGATCCGTCGAGGTTTGCGGGATCGAGGAGTCAGGCCTGGTGACAGTGGCGAAGAAGCGCCAGTTTCGGTAGTCGGTCGCGAGGTTTAGAGGCCCGGCGGAATGGAGTCTTGAGGCCGATCGATGGAGCTCGTGAGGTATTGATTGACTGGCGTGCGGGCTGATCGGTAGCGGCGGATTTGCTCCTTGTGTTCGGATTTGCTCCCAGGGCGGCAGCAAAGATGGAATCCGCAGCGGCAGCGGCAGCGTACATGGATGAAGTTCTTGCATTGTTCGAGAATGTCACTTACTCTGTCCGGAAGCAGTGGAAGCACATGGCCGGGCAGGGCAGCTTCTGGGAGCCTATTCTCGCCTTCATCCATGCTGTCGATTGGACCGTGAGTGCATCGTTGTCTTGTCCCCTCTCATTCTTTTCAAACTGATCGGCCATTCGGCTCAGAAGCGCCAACATTGTCGACCGTGTGTTCTCTAGCCACGCCAGATCGGTGGATCATTAGCATGTCCCTTAAGTTGAGCTAATTTTACAATGGGGAATTACCGATCGGGACACTGATGATTTAAAAAACGCTTCGTGACCCGTGAATTTTAGTCTGATAGAAGATGCCGATCCAAGCGCTCTTCGGACATCTAGTTTTCAGCGTCTGTCATATCTCATCTTCTCCTCGTGTTCGGAGAACTATGATAAACACTGTATTCCAACGTGATGGCAGTCCCGAGATCTTGTCTAAATTTGTTAAGGTTTTTTCTGAATTTGCAGGAACCGTGGTTGATAGGCCTGATGTGTACGCACGTCGTGCTTTTGATGCTGGCCGTGCTGACTCGAAGAAATAACAAAGCTCAAATGATTTTGTTCTTCTCCGCCCGTGAGTTTCAGAATGCACCTTCACTTCCACTCAGCGTCCATTGCATGCAAATTTTGCCCTCGCATTAGGTTTCTTTCCTCAAATTTTAATTCCAACTCCTTTCCTTGTCGCAGTCGTGTGTGTCTACTTCGCAGAGAAACTGAACAGCATTCTCGATCGCCATTGGAAGAGCTTTGCTCGACAGCCGTACTTCGACCGTCATGGAGTGTTTCTCTCGACGGTCTGGTCTGTGCCACTTCTTTTGATGTCGACCCTGATCCTGGTGAGTCCAGCTACGCCCAACTTTCGGGTGCCATTTCTTGTGCTTCCTGTTGTATTTCAGAGCTGTATCACAGCTTCTTGCCTCTGACCAGCGAGCGTTCTGTCATGAATTCAGGTCAACAGCCTTCTCACACTTTCCAAGCTTTTAGTGAAGTGGAAGACAGCGGAACTCAAACACAGAGCGCGGTTGGCTCGGGAGAAGAAAGAGTAGGTAGGAGCAATCGAAGGCGTTCCCTTGCGGATGCTGTACGTGATTGTGCAACAAGTTTCACTTCATTGAGGGTGAGGAAGAACTCAGTAGACATCTACCGAAGAGCGTATCCGACGTCTCTGATTTGAGGACGACCATTCACTTGTTGTCCTCCTGTGCTTTGCATTAGCTGCACCCTCATACCGGCATTTGGATCATCTCCAAGAAATTGCCATGGTCATTTGTAAGATTCAACCCATCAGCCATGTACCGTAATGAGAATTATATATACACTACATCTATGCTTCCATCGCCTCCTCTGATTTGCACCAATGTCAAATTCCCAAAGCCGAACTGCCGTTGACATGGAAGATTACACACTTGCGCGCTGGCCACATCTTTCAGGAACTGACTGCACTATCTTCTGGCTTCCGGCATAGTCAATATTGCATGTAGATTTTCTGGGAGACTTAGACCTGACATGCTCGGGGTAGGCTGTGTCTCCTTGCAATCGTGTTACCACATGGTTATTGTTTTCTTTTCGGAGCTCTTAGGTACAACACGACGGTGAGAAGTCGCTGCCAAGCTCGAGTAGTAGTTGTCATGATTCGAAGGGGCACTTCGCTGAGAGAAGTCAGTCACCTTCAGAACGGTGGGCATGAACTGCACACGCAGCCCGAGGCCGTAGGCAGCATTCTTCGTGAACCTGAATGTCTATCTCGTCGTCTCATTTTTTTCTAATGTGAAGGTTGTAATATGACCTCGGATAATCAGGGGCTGAAATATCAGCGTACACAATGTTAAGAAGGGACAAAACCAACAGTGACAATATATTCACTTGCGATCATGTATACAACAAGATGGAGATACACCAGTAGTGTAGTGTTGGGGAGTACAGTAGTTCCTATGGTTCCTTGTGTAACTTTCCTTATGCTCTTTATTAACGATGTATTCAGAAGATTGTATGGGTATCTCGAGAAAAATCGATTTTTGTGTAACGTTGGAAGAACTCAAGATGGTTTTGACACTGAGACCAAAGATGCTACGGATTCGGCTTATTTTTAAGATCCCGAACTACTTCGGAGTGTAAAGGTATAGTGGTACATATCTACACACAAACACAAGTCGGTAGCCAGTAAAGTCAATGTCACTCTCAAGCATCTTCTTCAAAAGCTACGAAATCGTATGTATATAAGTAGACCTTAGAACTTTGTGCAAAGGTTTAGTGGTACATATCTACACACAAACACAAGTCGGTAGCCAGTAAAGTCAATGTCACTCTCAAGCATCTTCTTCAAAAGTCAATGTCACTCTCAAGCATCTTCTTCAAAAGCTACGAAGTCGTATGTATATAAGTAGACCTTAGAACTTTGCCTCTCGTACAAGCAAGTACATCTGCATCATTGCGAATATAGAGAAAACATTACAAGCGTTACATACATCATTGAAAGTACTTAAAGGAGATTTTACAGTTATATTCCTTGAAATTCAGCTAGTATACAACATAATTGCAACAAATGATGTTTTTGTATCCGTTCAAAACATCATGTGTGAACACTATTTGTATCCATTTGATGTAAGATTCATCCATCGAAGATTAACAGCTGAGTTTTTTGAGTTTTTAAGGTTCGAACTAAAATGTAATACTTTTGTTATATATTTGCTTTATTCACTTGCATTTTCTAAAACCAAGAATATGATTAGTTTGCGTTAATCACCGAAGAATAGAACAATGGTCTCAACAACAATTGTAAAATTGGATTCAGAATAAAGATTTACCGTGGCGACTAACTATTATAAAAGTTGGGCCATGAAGCATTGTACATGATCATCTCAGGATGCCACAAAGTTGTGAAGCAACCCCAAGTATTGGACGGGCACGCAAATATTCTTTTACTCCACTTCTCCAGTTGTTGAATCTAGACCTACATTACTCCATTGACAATATTAATGAAGAATATGTTTCTAATGACCTTTCGTTCAGATTGTGGGCATGGAAAATACTTGTGCACGTACTGTATACTACATAATAGCTGCAGACACAGGCAAGTCACGTAACATATCCTTGGACAAATTTCCAGAACAGCATATAGAGTTTTCGTATTCAATCCACCACAGCTTGACACGAAAATCATGGGCATTACCAAATGTGTAGACAAAAAAAAACGAAGTCTTGGAAATCCGTGGTTTAACATAGAACCCGGTAGACTTTGGGCCGCTCTTGAATTCACTGAATATTTTAAATCTCTTGAAAGACGCGAGTTTTGAAACATCAGAGTCAGTGAAAATTTTCATCACTCCGCATTGAACTTAAGAAATTACACTCAAGTTAAACCAGATTAAATGTTCTAAATTGTCACCAATGGTGTCGGAATCTGAGTCTACTCCAGGCTTTTCAAACACGAGTTGACATTTGAATCTGTTCTCTAAACATATTGAAGATTTAAGCTTCCTGACTGTTGTTCCTTTATTTTTACAACGTGGCTACTGGCTAGTCTTGAACAAGCTGTCAGATTGATTTGAGATGAGGTAAGCTTGTCTTCCAAACCTCAAATGAAAAAGCTTCAATAACCCATCTCAGATCAGTCATTCCAGTTCAACTTGTTAGACCGTGCAAAACTACCAGAACAATTGGGAATGTCAGCCACCCTGCTCTCATGAACGTTCAACACAGCTAGAGAGTCCTTCGTCCACTTCACTGCCAATAATTGCCAACAACACGTGCCAATTCTGTAACAACACGTGCGCTCAATTGATCAGTTCAATACTAGTAAGATAAGGCTGCGCTACTACAATTCAGACCAGACCATTCCTCACATGCCTGGAAGAGGATCAGAAGTAAAATAAAACACATAGAGTAAACCTGTAACTTACGTTTTGGAGCATCTAGAAACTGCCAGGCTTTGCAACTAGGACAATTTGAATAACTGCAACAACACTCGTGACTTAAAAGTTTCATCTAAGCTAAAGAAGATTTCATTGAAAAAGCTATAGTAAGTCACCTTAAAGCAGAATCAAAACAACTCCGTCTTCATGGTAGAAAAACTCGATCGTGCTCGCAGGATAAGACCAAGGTATCACTGAAAGGTTGTCAAAGACTTCCAGGGCTGATGTCTTTCTTGTTAAGCAGTAGTCACTTAATGCAGCAATACCACAGCTTGGCTCGCTTGTGGACTAAAAATATTCCTTCACAAAGAACATATAGACACCGCATCCGCTCAGGGCGAAAGTGGTAACCAGAGCTTGCAAAACGCAGGACATGGATAGTCTGTCTACAGCACAGGTACTTGCTCGAGGTTCACAATGGTGGAATTTCCAGCAATCTTGCTGACAGCTTGCTTTCTTAAACCTGTCGGAACCCCGTAGCACACAGGTGAAGCACCTATTAAATATGGTAACCTGCAAGCATTTCTACTGCGCCCGACGGCAGAGCTCATTCGCACTGTCTCAGTGGCATCAGCTTTAGGACAAACTTTGCTAGTCGGTTGTAGCATGTCCACAGATCCTTCTATCAGAGAATCATCTACATTCGACACCTCTTTCATTGCTTGTTCACAATCACCCAGATCTACGAATGATTTGTTGATATCATCCTCTCCTGCTGATTCAGGTTCCAGAACCATCCACTTGTGCAACAGACATTTACTAAAACGATCTATGTCTCCATCAGTCACGTCCCACAAATTTGCTATAACTGACGGGCACCCGGCCATCAGATATGACTGAACTGTTCCAAACGGTTCATATTGACCGCGAGAATTTAATTTACCACTACTGCAACCCATCAGCAAAGTTGCGGCACATTGATCCAGCTGCCGCACAAATCTCTCCGGCAAAAACTGATCGCCTGTAAAAACGTACACATGTTAGAACATATCCAAGAGTTGATCCGTAGTTGTCAATTCAACACATTTGAAACAAAAGATTTGATTCCGGCGTAGTTTACTGCTTTTCGGTATTATTTTTCACTTCTTCAAGTTTCGGCGAGTACCGGTGCCGTGACCAAGGTAGACGAAGAGGTCAAAATCTTGAAGTCCTCTCTTGAATTCATCGGCTGATGGAGGCGCTCCTGCTTTACCCTGGTCATGTTCAACGACAAAAACTTTAAGTTCTCTATCCCAATGAGTTCTATTTGTCAAATATGAACAAAATCTTCATTCCAAGAATTTCTTAGCATTCATGATTAACAACAACTTAAGTGCTTCTGGAAACTGAGTACCTTCCATCCCGGCTGATGCGTGAACCAGTCTTCAAATGATGATTGGGTACTCTTCAAGTCCCCACTAGGATTCAAAATATAAAAAGTGTTACAGGGATTTATGAAAGTAACTTCCAGAGGTTGGTCCAGAATCAGATTCTTGATGGCACAAGCAGAGGTTTCGACATCGTTCTTCGCAGGTCTAGGCCGATTGGTTTCGTCTGCTTCTTGTAAAAGTTGCGTGTCAACTATACTTTCACTCTGGTGTTGGATATATATAGCTTGGACATTACCCAGTGAAGGCATGCGATAGACTTCGTACTCTCTAACAACGGGCAGACTCTCCCAAGGTAATGCCTGAATCAAACATGATAAATAATCAGCAGAGATAGCCAGCACTGGAATCAATAAGTTCTTTGCATGCTTCTGCACACGAAACATAGCGTCTAGTTTTTGACAGGGCACTCGTCAAATACCTGCGCATCAGAATCCAGAATCAGCTGGAGAGGCTGTCTCTTAACAGGAACATCTGAGGTCTTCATGTCTTCGACGACTACATCAGGTATGATTTCCGTTGTACTCTTTTTCTTTCTTCCAGTTTGACCTTTCGGCTGTTTCCTCGAAGTTAGCTTCCCACCACTTTCGCCCCCAAGAACCTTCATCACATCTGTTTCGGATGTGCAATACAAATTATAGAATGCCGCACGGAACAGTCGGGTTACTTTCAGCAGGTTTTCATTCTTGACCGGTTCAAGAGTCTCAGATCCGCAGTTTTTGCATACTGTTTCATTATTAGCATCAGGAGTGTCACAGTAGCAGTAATCATTCCACCCTAAAACTTTTCCAATGGCTGTTCGTAGCTCCAAATCGGTGAAAGAGCCGACCCCTTTTAGAAGACTTCTTATTAAACTGTGATTTAAATTCTTAACTCCCGCCTGTCTTTTGGTTGAAGCAATTGATTTCAGCGTTTCAAACAGGTGGTCCGCAACAGTCTCGAACGCACTGAACGCTGATGCCTCTTTTGGCTCTCCCAGCAGGAGACACTTGTGAGGGCCCAACCAAGAAACTTCCATCGTTCTGGTGCATGACAGGAATGAAAGTCATCGTACTGACCCATGCTATTTGTAAATAGACCCTTCAAGGAGAACATTAATCTGGAAGTATTGTCAGCTAACTACATATTTGGCAAACGAAGTTGAAGTAAATTCATCGATAATACTTCACTGGTGCACTTCTCAGAGAAAGTAGAAAGAGCTGCATAGAGAACGAGCTGCACATATGATTTCTCAGGTACAAAACCTTGTGACCAAACCCTACCTCACAAGCGCTCCAAGTCTTCTATCCAGCTGCATCCTCCATTTCCACCACAAGCTCTTCTCCTCGGGTGTAGCTACAGGATGAGTACCAGATGTTGACCGCCGACTTTCCTCCAGGACTGATTCGAACTCAGCGGCTACCTTCTGTAACATCCTTTGGCGTTTATTTGAAGCACGATGGAAAACCTTCGCTGTACTGACATCTTCATCGGAAGTGGAAGTTTCCTCATCGTCAGTCAAATAGTATGGATTCGACGCTGATTCTCCTGCATTAGCACTGCAAGAGACGTGCATTTCACCTGCAGATTAATGTGTAGTAAGTTTCCGGCTCCTTCCAATATAAACCAGCATGATATATACATAAAATATTGTGAGATGAGGCACACGAGATTTACTACTAGATCTGTGTTCTCTTACAATCATCTTATAGTCACCAGCCAGTGATTGTCGTAATAAGGCTCTACGGAATCATACGTGAGCAGACACCTGGAAACAAACTACTCACCTGCATGAAGAGGGCCAACAGGTAAGAGCGCAACTACTGGCGTACTCTGCGCAAAAAAGCGTGTTACGAGAAGGGAAGCCGTTGCACCAGAATTGCTTTCAAGGTCGGGACACCAAGGCACTCTTATCAAGTTCAAGTCTTCTTCGTCAACAAAACTTATGCAGCAGACGGAGAGAGGCGGCACCGAGTTCAAGAAATCTTTCACTTGAACTACAAGATTCTTTGCACTTAAGGGAAGAATTCTGCACCAAAGGCAAGGAATACAGTCATGTCTTTGTCGGCAGTTCAAAAATCGTAATTAAAAATGTCCTCTATCTAATGTATAGGAAAAATCCCAGCATTGCTTCAAATTTCTTTCCTTCTTGTGGTGGCAACATTTAGCATGGGAAATGAACGGGAACCTTTGAGACACAACAGAATATAATAATCAAACGAAACACCAAAGTCAGACTTAGCTCACCTCAGAACTTGCTGCATGCTAGGTACGCACTCCTTCAAGCGCCTCTGGGACGAGGCCTGCATATGGAAGAAAAGCCGTCTTTCGTGTATGAGCGGCTGATTAACTAGATATCACCGTACCAGGTCTAAATTGAGCAGGGTAGCTTCTAACTTCTTTAAAGTTTAAAACGAGAAAGACAGACATTCATGTACCATACCTGGCCATTCAAAGGTATTTGACTTAATTTCCAGTCAAGGACTGCAAGATGTTGCTGGCGCATCGTAGTTCCCAACGATATCTGATGAAAATAGGCAGCAACTTCTACTGCTTCCAATCCAGAAGAAACCAGGCCTGGCTTCAAGAGTGGACTTTCCGGAGGAAGCGCCACGTAAAGGACGGCAAGCAGCTTCGCGATCTTCAACCATTTCCATCGTGAACTGTGAGTGAGCTTGCCGATATCAAAGACAAAACCCAATTCAAATGCCAAGTTGTTTTCTTTCTCGAGCAAATCGACGGGAGTTTACTCCACGATTCCTTGACTTTACAGATATAAGATAGGCTTACCTTGCGAAGTACTGGAGGAAACTGATGGCACAAAGAGAAAGCGCGGTAAAGTCTGTCAACTATCTCCACCTTGTGCTTTTCCAGCTCGTCAGTTCCTCGTCTAGATGATTTCAGCCGTTTCCTGTGAACGATGTCCACATGAGTTTAGGGAGCAAATTTGATATTCTCTGTTTGGGAGTTTAACCCCTATTTATGCATGCATGTCCTACGAAGACATGTTTTCCTGCAATCTCCGTTTTTCTGATCCAACATCTTCCGGCATACTAACACTGAATGAACTTGCAGGATCCAAGCAGTGCATCGCATACATAGCATATCCGTAAAATCTAGTCCTTGAGGGGACCTTATTCTATCAGATGAGCAAACTGTCATTCTAGACCAAAATAGCACATTTACCTTAGAGATTCATCCTGCTGGTTTCTTTGCAACCATAACCGGCTCATATGATACAAAAGAACACCCTCCTCAAGTGGAGCAGAACTGCAAGTTGAATTGTCACGAAGACAAGATGAAGATCTTGCGTACAAAGTTGACACAGCTTTCTCATAGACTTCTCCAGCTTCAGTGAGCTGCCCGAGATGAACTAGACACTTCCCTGCTCAGAGGGGTTGGAAAACAAATGAGGATTTAGCCGGAAATCTGAGGATATCGGCCGACAGTACTGACTGATAGAGATACGATGAACAAATGTAGTTCATACCTTTTTGCAGCAAAATCCGAGCCAGAAGTTTTCGGTACAAGTGATTCCAGCCATGACATGGCCACTCTTCTAATGAGAGGGACCGCAAATCTTCCTCCTTATTACATTCCTCTGCAGCCTGAGCAATGTCCATAACGTCACCCTGTCTAACGTCCGGCATTGTGCGCAGTTCCCTATTCAACTTCAGAGGCTTCTGCATGACTTGTGTTCTGTCCGGAAGTTCTGCCGAAATAAGCTCCTCTACTGATTCGTTACTAACTAGAGCACCTTCAGTTTCGTGCTTCACACCATGACTTCCGGATTTCAGGACTGACCTTGTTTTTCTACGTTGAGGTTTAGGGAAATTTTCTTCCTCAGCCGATAATGATGTCAAACTTAAATCCTCACACAATGCCTCCAAGTCCTTTTCGTGACTGTCATCGGGCCCAATCTGGATCAAAGCAGAACTTCTAGTCTGCACAGACCTCCTAAGGCGGGGTTTCCTTGCTCTTATGGTAGATTGGCCTGCTGTTTCCTCAACAACATGAGCCATGATCTTCTTAGAAACCTTCTTTCCCTCCTCTCGCAAGGTGCTGAGCATCTGTCTCTGCTTGCTCTGCGTACTAGAAATTGATTCTTCCACTATAAAACTAGACATGTCAAATCCTCCTGATGATTCAGAAAGTGTGACAGTTGCGGTTGTATAACAACATACTGCATCAGACAAGTTTTTAGCCAGGAAGATTTTTAAGCCACACGGAGGAGTGGAAGGGCTACAACTTGATCCTTGTTGATGAAACCAATGATGACGTAGTAAATCCCCAATACGAATTTCCAGGGAAGCCTTTCCTGTGCTGATACAATTTTTACAAGTTGCAGAATCATCCAACCTTTCAAATGTCTTCTTTGCAGTGCAAAGGTAATTCTCCGCAGCTTCCCACATTAACCTTTTCCGATAGACCTCACCTGTAACGTCGAATGAAGTTACTCAGAGCTTTGGATCAACAGAAAAACGACTAGGGAAGAGGATGAGTATATCGAGCGAGGCAAGCAGCAGCAATAATGGTGTGAGGTGGGCTTACAAACCTAGAGAAGAGCTAAACCAACCCAAGACCATAGGCAGATTTTGGGCCGTTGCAATTCGATGACCTTCCCGAAATATTCTCTCAGCGTCATCAGCAGCACCCATTTTCTCATATATAAGTCCAACCTGTCAGACAAGAAAGTACGACGGGCTTTAGAATTTGCTCAAGTCCTTAGATAAAATTGTAATTCAAGAATCAGGTCACACCTTTCTACAACGGTGAGAACATTTCAGGCATACATACAGGATTTGCTCATGACACCTGGAACATTTGTGTGGTGGTATCAAGTGTGGCTCTGAATGATGCAAATAAGGAATGAAGCCGAAAAACTAAATATATGAAGTACCTGCATCAAGCTCTCGACGTAACTTCCAAGTATTCGCCACTGGCTTGGAATTGACAAAAACTGTTGGATTTTCACCGTGAATGGCCAGCAGGACGCTGCCACTGAAGCTGGAAGGTTTCTTGGTACTAAAACTTCGGCCTCTTGAGTGGATGATGGAGTGTTAAGGTCGACAGCTTGAGCAGGTAGTTTCTCAAAACCGCGAAATATGCGCTTGAATAGTTTCAAGCGCAGTTGATAAGCTTCGTTTGCATACTTGATCGCCTGCGGTCAAATGATAAGTTGTGTGATGTTAATGCAATCTACTGATACGATTAGTCTACATACCTGGCAACCAAGTAAGAACTTGTAACTTGGGCAATCAATGCAAATTTGACCTCAGTGTTCAATGTAGGTTAGTGATCACCCTTACTAAGAAAGCCACAGTAATGTGAAGCGAGTCCTGAAATCCGCAAATCTGCTGGGAAACGCTCGACGTACCTCTGTCAGATCACCTCTCTGTAAAGCGAGGTCGGCAATTAGGTGACGCAGTTCTGCTGACTGAAGGACAATGTGGCTCGTTTTCTGTACCTGCAAGGCGTCAACAGACTTTATAATACGACTGACAACTTACCAACAGATATGCCATGACAATCCAGGGACACTGAGTGCTTTAACAAAGAATTTGATGAAAGCATCCTGTCGACTATCAACATCAAAACCGAAGTTTCACAGCCGCCGAGATCTAAACATCTGAAACTACGCGCTTCAAGTTCGTCAAGAACAAAACAATCGTGCGGACCATGTATTTCGACATGAAATAGCATCCGCAGTCTCTACGTTCTAAAAATGGACATGCAAGTGAAAATTAGTAGACGATGTAGACATGTAGAAATGAAAGCCGAGGCTCTTACGAATGCACATATTAACACTTACATCTGAGAGATTAAAGCGAGTCATTTCCTTAATCTTTTGAACACAATGAAGCACATCAGTTTCTGTGTACTTGTCTTCCTTCGCTCCACACTGACAGCTACTATCCTCTTGAACGGTCAAGAGTTGAGCCTCCATCATTGACCCAGGACATAGCTTGACATTTTCTTGCCAATATTCACGGGGCTTAGCTCCATGATCATAAAATTGTCTCGTGCTGGAAAGAACTTCCGAGGGAAAGAGTACTGGGCAGAGCACGTGGCTCATTCGACTGTTCATTATAAAAGAATGCCAGTCTGCCTTTGAAAGTGGCTGATTCAGATATGCTGAAACCTTCAATATCAGCCCGTATAAGTCAACTTGTAAGACAGAATAACCCTGCACAACAAAGTCCACCTGGCGTAGTAAATACACAGAAATCGCCTAGGACTTATTTATGACAGCTTAACTCAGCAACAAAAGCAAACGCAGTATCTCAAATCTAACAATATTTTCGACCTTTTCAATAACAATTTTGACATTACCTGGATGTGAAGAAGATCCATCATGCAAAGCAGCAAGACAATAGGCTGTTCATCTTGCTCTGCAGTATCAAGAGAATTTTGATACTTGCGAAGGCTACTTTCATTTTCGAACAAATCTAAGAAGTCTCTCCATGTGTGATACGTTTGCGAAGCGTACGCATAGAAATTCTGAGGGTCACAAACGATGGTCAGATACCGTTAGCTTCCTGAGACTACAGTCAACTCTTTATAAATACAACTATACTGGACCAGTTTCTTTGCCCAGGCGAGTAACTCTCGTATAAAAATCTGAGGGCATCTTCATGACAATCGACAATCGCGAAGAGGATTCTCTCATCCAACCACTCATGCATTATTCGCTGCCCTACCTGAGAATGCGGATCCAGTTCGTAGGATAAGATAGACATCATGGAAGAAGCGACAGCCATGTCTCTTTTCAACCTGCGGTTGAAAGACAAATCCCGAGCTCTCCTTCCAGAGGTCTTGCAGGCTTTTTCCTACAACAGATTAAAACCAGATAAGGTGGCCTTTCTTTGGAGCTTTTCCAACACTTCGTACAGGAAACAGAACAATCAACAAATTTCGTCGATTAACTCAAAGATAGAAAAATATGTTAATAACTCTGCGAACCGTTGATCACAGAGACAATATGAGGACGTCCTTAAAGGCTTTGTGTTTAATTTTCCGAAAATTTCTGAAAGTGTACACCTGTGCTAGTTCGAAGTATGAAAATCATGAAGGGCAATAGGATAACCGGTACTTACCATTAGACATAAGGCTTCAGAAATGTCCTTGATGCAGTCTGGAAGATTGCCAGAATCAATAAGTCTTGAGTGTCGGCTTTTCTCTAACAATATTCTAGACCTTTGAACAAGGAAGGTATCCCCGGTATAAACGTTGTCTAGAAGACTACAAAAAATTTGTGTTTCCAGTTCGCGAGTTTGTTCTGGAAACATCTCAATCAATGACTTGCAAGCTGCAAGCTCCTGCAGAACGAATCAGAAGCTCGAGTTAGCGAATTGTTCACCTCTTGTCACTCGAAGTTTGCAAACCATTTGATAAGCTACATGTTTGAGTACGCTCAACCAATTGGCGAGGAAAAGAGAAGTTCTCTCTTCCATAATCAACCAGCTAGACAGAAAACAACCAGAATCTTACCTCCTCCAGAACCATTCCCAGTGTTTCGGCAGGTAGTGGAGGTTGAAGGTCACCTAACACTCCATATAAGGAGCAACCTTTTCGCCCACCGTTGCTGAAACATGAGGGCTTCATGTCTACACACATCAGCTGCAACGTATATTAGAAAGGATGAGTGACAGATTGTAAGGTGCGGTTAGTCTTTCAGACCAAATAACCAAATTGCGTCAGGTCGGCCTTGGGTAAAGAATCCTAATATACATCTAATGACAAATGGAAAGCAAAATCGTCTATTCAGAACAATACCTTGATGAAGGACTTTATTAATGCACGGGGAGGCTGTATATTGGAGGCGAGAGGCTGGACACTCGCCCATTCTGTTACTCCTTCAATCAACAACAACTTCGATACTTCGGATTCACCATTCCGATTCCGTGCATCAGCGAAGACAGAACACTTAGCACACGCTTCCGATATCATCTCACTGAGAGATGCATTAGCTTCCATAACGCGGCGGTTTGAATTAATTCTTGCCCACGCTGCCTTGTATGCCACTTCTAAAGGCCAGCAAGCCTGCAAGAGGTGGACAGCAAATTCCACTATTACACCACTATATGAATGGAACACCCACTCCTCATAACTTCAGAAAAGACCGCTCTATCTGTCGCACGTTTACATATGTAGAAGAAGCTAAGATACCGATACAACAATCGAAGGTGGAAAGCGAAAGGCCAAAGTGAGAAACGTACCGAGGAATACTGCTTGGAATTAAACAGTTGAACTCCCATGTTGTAGGTTGATGACATAAGCCACCATTGTTCTTCAGGTAGGAGGTACTTGATACCTTCAATTACAAGAGCGACGATATCCTAGTATTTATCCGGAAACACAATACCCAACATATACAGATTTAGTCGGTAAAGAAGTTTACCTCCAAGAAAAGCGATCATAAGTCAACCTTCCTAGGTGCTGGTGATCCGAGATAAAAGAGAACCTCAACTATCTAGATCTCAAGCCAAAAAAAGTTTACGTTGATACGCTGTTCACTTTACAGATATGGGCTTTACCTCAATGTCATCATCGTGCAGCAATGACAATCTCAGTGCAGCTACTGAAACTTGCGAGGCAACTTGATATCCTTTACTGAGAATATCCCTATCATTTTCATTCAGGCCAGGGCATCTGCATTCAAAGTAGAATATTGGTATTCTCGAAGTTGATCAATAAAGTATTGGCATCGTTTAAATTCGACCACCTGTTCTCTGTCGAAACATCAGCTTTTTGCGGCGTATAAGGCATACGGAATAATCAAGTAATGTCAACTTAGAATCAATTGTTCCTTCTGTGGACCAAGACCTCAACGTTTTTGGACACCCATTTAGGAGACGTAAGGATAGTGTTCAAAAAGAGAAAACGACGTAATAACAGTGGACATCCAAGGACCGCACAAAGCAGCTGCCTCTAGTGGAACACTCATGGCGGCACAACAGTCGCTGCGCTGAGTATGAATCTAAATGCTTACTAAAAAGCACATCAAATACTGTCCAAGTGAAGATGCGTACCTGATCCCTTTCTCGATCAGTGGATGACACAATTTCAACACCTTCCTCAGGTGGGCGTGGAAGTTTCCGTCAAGTAACGTAGTCTTGCAACAAGACCCTGCAACGTACTCATTCCATAACGCTTGGGCGTATCTTGCAGCTGGCTTTTGCACATGTTGCACAGCTCTTGCTATGCCCAAAAAAAGTCTCGGTAGAAACTCGTCTCCTTCTTGTTGCAAAGTAGACAAGTGATTCCGCCATTTTTCAGACGCAGGGGAGATCTGAAAGTTCCCCTCAATTCCTGACTTGTCCAATGTAGATGTTAAATGCAGCTGTAGAATGCAATGAAGGACATCCTCTAAACTTTGGAGTAGGAAGCAAGCTTCACGCAAGAAGCTTGTTTCGCCCTTCTGGCTTTCCAAATCACTAACAATTTGTTTCGGGCTATTTTCACGACTCCCTTGTATCTTGTGTGCAGGCCTTTGTTCCCCGTCTAATTGTACCAGTAATAAGCCAATTCCATAGAGACCCGAGACTGCCACTGGGATGTCTGCACTGACCTGATGACATGGACCCGTGGGCAGTTAATTACCAAAATCACTAGTGTCAACATAACCACTTATCAGGTAACAGATATTCTCGTGGCTCAGAAAAAACTACTCTACCAGCAAGAGTAATCCATTGTGGCATCAAAACTGTATGGTTCATGCTTACTATCTCATCTAATTGAGCTATCGAGTACTTGTGCCTGCCCATCTTGTGCTTTTGAAATGGTGAAAGTTTACGATAAGTATAAGTTTTTTGGACTCGCCCTCGAATAACTTGAAACTGCAACCAGAACTTTCCATCTATATTTATGAAGGAACGAGTTTATTTGACAAGCTGATAAGGAGCCTTCAAACTTCACATTCAGATACCTGCTGTTTGTGAAAGACAAAACTGTAGATTTGATGCCAGCCGAATTCAACTTGGTTTGTTGCTTGGCACGAGCGCGAGAACCAGTCCACAAGTTCCAGCACCTCGATATTCCTACGCATCCCTTCTAACTGCATGCAATTGAACCGCAGCTGTTAGAGGACTCCCTAACGATGAGGAAGGGAAGCCGAGGTGGTTACATTGATAAAAACACTGGCAAGCAGCTAGCTGTGGCATACTGGTACAATAAATTATCAATAACTATGTGGGCCTCATAGCACGTTAATACTAATACCCTTTCCGTAATTATGCTGGAGATAGAGATGAGTAAGTGTTGCATAACAAATAGAAGTTAAAAGCGACGAGTATCCCGAACCTCATCATGCGACGCGATATTCGAAAGAGCCGTTGAACAAATGTCCACTGCTATTCTTGACGTTGCATCTACGCTGCTCAATGAGATGCAAAACTTCCTGGCGACCTAGTTTCAGTTTATAAGCGTGAGAAGGAGGAAAGTCAATACAAGGAACCCATAAGGAGGATAAGCTTTCGCTTCACAAGCATGCATCAATCTAGGATAATGGTAAATATACGCAACTCGATCGAGATGTCTGGGAGTGTCCCTAGATTGACGTGAAACTGCACGATACAGGGATCAGGGAGATTGTAGAACCTTGGCGTACTGATCACGTTGAGTTGATGACGCACAATATCCAAGAGTGAGCTTGCAGAGCTCTTGAAGTAACTTAGTCCCAAATCGCGTTGGTTGAGCAATCACAACCAGTGTGCACTTGTATAGAGCCCTGAACAAAGCATCGCGCTGTTTGACTGCGTTTCCTGCATCCAACAAGCTGGGACCCAGAGTCTCAACAATCAGATACTGTCACTGCCTCTGCTCTTAAGTAGAACACTTGGATTCAGCTGAGTGACAATTTCATGTAGATAATCACCTCGTCTTCCAAGGTTCATCATCAAGTCACAAATATCGCTTTCTCTGCACATTTTGGTTGTTTCCTGTCACCGCATCACTCTATAAGCTGGCACACCAAATTCGCTGTCTAGGACTAATTTGTGGACGCTTCACGTTTTAAAGCATATTGATGTCACGCACTATAATGCCGTGACGTGAGTAGTTTGTTTATTAGTCCCTTTATACTCGATAAAGGGAACTGTAATGAAGTTTTTGCAAATGCTTGAAATGTGCTTAATCACTCACGCTGCACAGGGTTCCTAGCTCGAGCTTTCATCACAATTCATACATATATACTTGAATAGTTTGAAAGTAATCTTCTTGTGCCCTACCGCGCTGTGGACTAGGTAGTTTTGTTACAAGCTATGATAAATTTTGCAGGATGATGAAACGACTCTGGAAGAAGAAGAGTCTCTGGCGAGAGGAGAAGCCGAGGGTAATGCTGACGAGGTAAAAATATGCTCACTGTCGTATTCCAACAGGGTATTTCGTAAAGAAATATGGTACTGGATCTTTGTTAGCAAATAGCAACAACCTCCTAGAAATGTGCACCTCTCGGCCATTTCTTATGAACATTTGACAAGATGCAAATAGATGAACCTACCTGATCCATGGAACCAGTTGCTCAGGCAGACTCAGTAGCTTCTCAAAGCAATTAGTGGAGTCTGTTGCAGCTTCAGCTGTACACCAGATGAGATCAATAACAGCTGATACTACCAAAGTAGGCAATCCCACTACGTGGTCACCTAATGGTGGCGAACCTAGGATTTCATTTTCTTCTGGAGACAAATCCTCTGCTGCAGCTTTCTTTTTGGTACTACCTGGTGAGCAGTCAGAGAACGTAAGTTAAAAAATATGTATATGTTGGAATTCATATGAAGCTACATCCGAAGATACTCACGCGATAACCCCGATAGAAGCTCACCTCCTCTGTTGGCCTTCGCTGTGGTCGTTTGCTTAACGCTCTCAATGTTAGCTCGGGAGAGAGAATTAATATGGCAGAGACTGCGAAACAAGGTTTGGGACTGTGCTAAGGCGTCACCAAATCTCCTCCAGGCCATGAGACGGCGTACCAGTCCATATCTCTGAATCTCAATCTCGAATGAACATCCCGTGAGGAAGGATCGCAACTGATTCAAACTATCCAGACCTACTATCATAGCTGAAAACAGCTCATCGGCCCTGCCCTGGTCAGCGGCATCTCCTGAGATTGGGACGGAAGCCAAACTAGCTCCACAAACCTTTAAAAATTGCACAAGGAATGGGGTGAATTCTCTAGCAAGCTTGTGCAATTCAATTTTTGCATCATTCTCCTTCCCATACCCATAAGCTCCGAACAAAGGTGCGACATATGTCTTCAGCGAAGAACTGAGTCCCCTGAGGTCTGAATTGTGCAGAAGCTTCAAGATAGTGTCTCCCCTGCACGCTGCAACCGGTTTGGCCTGCCCACGCGCATCTTTGAGAACCATATCTCCTTGTTGCCTGCGTTCGGTCTTCCCTTCCGAGAACTCTACCTTGCACACCGAACACTAAAGCGCATGTGCATTTTCCCCATGTGAAACACATCTCACACCGTGTGAATGGCCAGCAAGCTCGTTCAGCATTTCCTCCAAATCAAGTTATTACATCCCAAAAATTTCTCACATGCTACTACTTACTGTGATTCTATACTTGTGACATAATCTCGACATTCTCCTCAACGTCCATTCTCGGAATCTGCGAAGGAAACTGAAAGTGTTAAACATCCGAGATTGCGACTCCAAATTCTGCACCCGGACCCAAAGTCGACAGGATTTTTCATAATATATTCCACAAGAACCCAACCAGCCCCAAAGTCGGTCAACTCTGCAAAATCTCCCAAAATCTCAACAAAATTATGGAGCGCGCGGTCTTCTGCCTCGCAATTCATTCCCCGTAGGACGTTCTGAGAGCACGAGATTTGCTGAAAGAGGTGCAGTTGATCCAACTAGAACAATTCGACGTCGACAGTCGACACATAGCTCCGAGCTATGGAAGATTTGCACCACTCCGATGGTTTCATGAAACGTGATGATCGGCGAATGATGAGCTCCGGGTGGCGATTCCAGAGCAGGAGTTGGGGGCTGAAAACGCAGAGCTGGGCCGTCGCAACGAAAGAAGCCGTTCAGGCGCGAGAGCTGCAAATTTGAAAACCCGTGTAAGACGACAGGAGCGTCCTCTTGTGCAAAACGACGCTTCCGGTCAAGCTTTTCAGCTTCTCACCGGCACACTTCATACCCGAGGTGAAGTTAACTGGGCCCACTTACGTCTTACCGGTAAAACTTCGCAGTCCTGTACGCCTGTAGGTACAGACCTCCCGTTAAGCATGGACTACAGTACTGACGAAGTCGTATCCACCTCTATGTGCTTGTGGTAACATCCATAGTCAAATGGCAATTGTAGATAAACAGAAGAATAAATCTTTCTATCATATAGGAAATATTACATACAACTATCCATGTAGAGGAACCGAATCGTTCAAAAATCGTTCGTGTGATTGATTATTCTCCGATTTTCTGCCGTGGAGACATATTGAGCCTCACTAATCTCAATTTATTTTTTCAACCCTACATTTTTTAACATATATATTGAAGGTAGACACCTTTTCAAAAATAAAAATCCCAAAAAGAACGGGAGAGAACAATACTGATCATCCAGAAGCATCTATTTGTGAGCTGAATTTTTCAAATTTTTTTCTGGACTACAATCTAATATTTTGCTTCACTTGAGTTTTCCAACCTCCGGAACATGTTCTGAGGTGTTGTGTCTCTACAATAGCCTGATTTCCCATCGTGTAAGCTTTCAATTTGATAAAACATAATATTTCGATAGCCCCTAAAAAATATGTAATATATATAAATTCTACATACTAAAAAATCTGAGACGTTCTAACTAGAATCATCGTACTCATCGAGTAAAGCCTTCTTATCGTATTGGTCAAGATTTGACGAAAATAATATGACTAAAATAATATTGAATCATAAGGAAAAAAAATTAATAATTTTTGGATGTAGAATTATAACGAACAATTTAAAAATCGTATATAGAAAATTTTTCACTGGTCATGAATTTGTTTTCGTTAAATTCTATAAATATGTAATAAATTTAATATATAGAAAATTTTCACCAAAAAATTAACTTATTTTGTTGATTTATAAAAATTAAATAAAATTTTTTAAAATATTATATAAATCAGATAATGTAATTAAATAATCAAAAAAATATTTTGAAGCATTTTGTAAGAAGAAATCAAACTCAAAATCCATAAAACTACTGCATGGATTCATCAAGACATAAAATTAGAAACCCAGATATACTATGACTTTGAAACACTTTGCAATAACAAATTGAATGCAAAAATCAATAAAGGTCCATATAAATTTATTGTAAGAAGTAGACCATATGTTATCATAACAAACTATAAATATGCATGCTTCACTTTAATGAGATTCAATGAAAGATATAAATTCGTATTGAATGTAATGTGAAATAATCTATATCAATATCGTATCATCAAAAGCATGAAATTTTTTTTAAAAGCATCAAAAGCTTCAATAAGACGTACAAGATTTTTCATAATTTTTGGAAATTAAGCATTATCTAAAAATTTTCAAACAACATAGTTTAATCATTATTTTTATCCATTTGTTTCAAAATTAAAATGTTTAAATGTAAAATAACACTAATCACAATCTAATTAAAAAAAATAATTCTCTCCTTCTTGTTGAAAATGAAAGATTTAATGCTCAAAATATTTTCCAAATCAGTGTCTTTTATTTGTCTTTGACTTGATTCTTTCAAAGCAAATAACTATAATATTCATTATATTTGATTATTATCCATGTTCTCAGTCTTTCTGGTCTCAATCTCATTCCGTTAAGAAAAATGGACTACGTTGTTAGTTCAAATGGATATATATGTCCACTTATATGTTCAATATCGTCATTTGCTATAACAAAGTTATATCATACACCGTTTGTCCAATCAGAAGTTTTAAGTCCCAAAGTAGAACACGATCCTCCAATATTACTAGTTCAAAATCTTAGAACTCTGAAAATGTCAATTTAACAATTAACTACAATAGCGTCAGTATATGTGCTCGTACCAACAGGAGGAACTTCTAAACACACAAGTATACTTTCTCAAATCTTCAGGTTTATCCAATATAACATGATTGTGCTCATTAGTCTTCAGTCTTTGTATTTTGTCTCCAAATCTGATATTTATTAAAGCAAACAATCTATCTGCTACTAGATGTGCGCAACACGGCTTTAGCATAGTAACAATTCTTGAAAGGATGAATTTTAATCCTGCGTCATCTTTCATAAAACGTTGAGTCAAAACTCGCACGCTACACTCACTGTCACCATATGTGTTCGTAATCCTGATATAAAAGATAAAATCCGTGATAGAAACGCAAGTGACCAAAAAACCATATTAGTAAAAAGTTGGAGTGAAAGCATAACTAGAACAGAATACACCAAACAACTTAATTTCCATTTCTATGCGACACATATTCATTAAGGAATGTGTCTAGTTATAAAGAAAAGGAGTCTTAGGATCCTGTTGGCTATCATACATCATGTGTAACCTTGGAATCTACAAGGTGACCATCGGAAGTAGACTGGACTTTACACTAAACAAAAGATAGAATTACTTCATTCTCCAAGCCATTCAATCGTGAAGCGCTCTTCCTCTGCTGGTCATCTCTCCCTTTGGCCTCGTGACCTTCGGGTCGTGCGTCCAGGATATTGTGCAAGATGATGGACACAATCCTCATATAAAAATAACTCTTGTCACTTAATTGGTTTGCTTACTGAGGCCTCAGACAAAGCAGCGTGCTCATGCTAAGTCTCATGAGGCCCGTACAGAATAGTAATTGCCAAAGGCTGCTGCACATGCTGCAATATTTATGGTAGTGAGGCTAGGCTGCGCTTTGACGACTTTGCTTCTGCTAAATATCATGTAAATCTGGATTATTCATGTGGGAGTGGAAGAGATTTTGGGGATTTTGTTCACCACGAAGTACCATGAAATTGGAATCATCTTAACACCTTGACTCTAAACCCCAACCGATGAACCTAGGAAACTAAACTAAACGACACAATTCACCGTTAAATGACCCTATGCAGTCAAGAATGAACGAGGTAAAATAACAAAAACGATGTCAAGACAAACAATACTTAATTCGATGAAACCAAATGGGTAACCTGTTCAAGTAGTAGACCAATTGAGTAATATGATATAGATATGAATGGACGAAGGTGTCCAATTAATTCCTGAATCCTCCGACTCGCACTGTGGGAATTATGCTCTATAAAGAGAACACGGCCAAGCAGAAAGAGTAGTACGAAGAAGGCTCGCAGGAAAGGCTCAAGCAGAGCGTGTGCGTGTCTGTGGCAAGACAACAGATTAGCGCCCAAAGGAATCTCTAATTCGAACCCCCAGTGCTCTCCAGATCCCGAGAACATGCGACGCGAGAAGATGGCTTCGAGCACCGCTCGTCGAGTGACTGATTGTGGACAATGTGGAGTCGATTCCGATGCTCGATGGATTAGCACGCTAATGCGATCCGCCGTGGAGACGTCGTGGCAGCGCTCACCTGCTCTCCATGCTGCGAGGGGGGCAGATATTTGGAAGAGGTGGTGCAGAGGTCCCGTGAAACGGAAAAGGTGAACGCCGGGTCGGTGCCGGTTGACAGAGAGAGACAGAGAGAGACAGAGAGACATGGAGAGCAGGGGCTGGTGGGCCTGCTGCTGCTGTCGACGGGAGAAGTGCAGGGCGAGTGAGCCTTTAGAGGTTCAAGCGGGGCTCACGGGCAAGCGAGGGACGGAGCGATTCCGGGAGAGTTCGTCGCTTCTGTTGCCGCTCGTGAGATTGTTTGAGTTTCCTCGACGAAACGCATGAACAAATGGCCAGTCGCTTCGGCCTGCTCTGTGCCACATGTTGGCCACCCGCATCTCCACACCCTCTGCACTGTCTGTCGCCCGGAGATTCCGCGACCGAGCGCCTGCGTGGGTTGAGGAGTGGCGATTTTTTTTGCCCGATTCCGTTGAAGCGCTCTCCTGGCTTGCCGCGAACAATCTGCTGCAGTCTGTGAGTATTTCAATTCGCTCGGAAATTTGCTCTGTTTGGAAATTCGAGATTCACGGATTGGCCAAGTGTCACTGCAACCTTCGCAATTGGGAAATTCGGCTTTTTCATTGATGATACTTTGATCGTTTCGCATATCATTCCTGTAGGAACGATCGTTGAGTATTTAAGTGTAATTCGAACATTCTACAATTGAGCACACGCCTGACCAGCCATCCCGTGAGATCTCTAGCAGGAGACGGTCAGGTAGTTTGCACGTCGCTACCAGCTGGCTGATCATTGCTCCAAATCACAGCTCCCGTTCCAATCCGATATAGATATCCGGTAGATCACGTTGGAGCTGCGCGTATTAGAGTGAATTCGAATGTCTTCCGCATGCTCCTTCTTAGTAGGCCTATGGGTTTCTCACTGGACTGCCGTAGATTTGGAGATTATTTGACTTATATCTTAAGCATTTACTCACCAGTGCTACAAGCCTGATATCACCAGGCTCTCACGTAAAAGCGAAATTGAAAGATCACACGAAACGCTCGTAGAGGATGAGTTGCTTCTGGGTTGTTCTTTTAGATTATACTTCTCATTTGGTGGAAAGTCGGTTCAAATCTATGCCAACTGATGATGGAGGCCACGTGAAACTCCAGCAATTGGTGATTCACTTCAGAAATTCTGTACATATATCGAGGTGAAGTCAGAAATTTTGTAATACAGCAGCATTGTACGACCAATTCAGTTGATGTGACTGATTTCATGTCGTAATCCAGTGATAATCGCCGGAGTCAGGAGTTTTCGAGCCCACATTACAATGCTGCACACACAATTAAGGTATGTTGGTATTCTACTGTCTAAACTTACAGCTTTCATACTGCGAGAGTAGTGAGTCAAACGCTTCAGCACTGCTCGCCCACGTCACTCTGTAATGTCATTCTTGCCAGTTGGAGGCCTCTGTCATCTGTAACGCCCTTGAGCTCCTAGTATTTATTGGCCTCTATCAACTTTGTGTCCATCTTCTGGTTATTCCTGCACAAGAATGCACTTTGCACTGTTGGTAGTTTTTGTGGATCTTTGAACCTCTTGAATCTTGTGGATCTTTCGTCGGCATTGTGCATGCCGATTATGAGTCCCAACTTAAAGAACGGGAGATTACACACATCGCAAGCTAGCCTCATAAAACTTCCACAAAATAGCTTTTATGAACCTCTTAAAGAGGGCCCCTTGTTATTTCTGCGAATCAAGGAGAAGAGTTTCGTCTTTCGGCCAGATGCTTTGAAAAGTATAGTGTATGTCGCCCATCCAATCGCTGACTCGAAGTAACTGGTCAATCTTCTGCAGTGATGGCGTCTTAGAACTTTCAACTTATCATGTCTTATGTTATTTTCAGGGTGGTAATCGGCAATTTATGAAGGTCGAGGCGAACAATTTGATGAGTCGGCTGGCATTTACAAAGGTATTCATCTGAATATATGAAGCTTTTTCCGATTGAAGCAGTAACCCATATCTGCTGGTCATTACGATGAAGCAATGAAGATGATTTTGTTTCATAATCGAACTTATCGGAAATCGTTCTTTGATTTCAGGCACAAGCTGCGAGTCTTGATGCTGCCAAGACAACTCTCAATTCTACGTCTGGTAAACCGTCGCCTTTGGGTGTTTCTAAACTGGACGGAGCGGTCAATTTTGCACTCTTCTCCGAGCACGCGACCAATGTGACCCTTTGTTTGTAAATTTCTTACTTACGTTTAAAAGTTTTGACTTCCGAGATTATGAGAGTTTTTCAGGAGAAAGAAGCTTTGGTTGAGCTCTTGTCAGGTAGCGTTACTGCACGGCTGCGATGTCAGTGATTTGCTGCTTCCAGCTTCTAATAATGTCTTCCAATCACTGGGGCCTTGCTCATACTCTTGCCCGAACAGATATATCAATATTTCAGACCCAACGAAACCAGGAGAACCAACCGCCGAAATTGTCCTAGATCCGCTAAAGAACAAGACTGGCAACGTTTGGCACGTCTGTGTTCAGGTACAAGATATGGATTTTTCGAGTCTTCATGATTTATTTAAGAATCTTACTCATATGGGATTGCAGTATAATTTATAAATTTGTTAATGTGTTATGTGAGCTCACTTATGGGGGCAGTTCAAGCTACCATCTTGTCTCAGTTGTCTATTTGTCTTAATAGACATCTCTATTACTCTCCAAAATTAATTTCTCTAACGTTTTCTCCACATGTGACGTCATTAATTGTCATTATTCGTGCTGCTATGTGGGGATCATATTCAATGAATTTCTTCTGAAGAATTTTAATTGAGACCTGCTAGTGGAACAAAAAGATGAGTTTTGACTCAGCGTATTTTGATATTGCGCAATAATGACCTTCGACTCCGTCTCATCTGTTATTATAAGGACAGGCTGAAGTTTCCAGTTCATCCATTACTACTGTAATAATGTTAGTAATATTGGATGTAATAGCAACTTCCTGTTTTCAAGCTCCAGGTAATACCATTCTGAGCTGCCTTCAAGTATTCATCTCTGTTTATTATTTGACAGGACATTCCTTTGAAAGGTGTACTGTATGGCTACCGCGTTGACGGACCTAAAGGCTGGGACAAAGGCCATCGTTTTGATAACACCAAGGTGCTTATTGATCCTTACGCCAAGTATGTCGATGGCCGAAGAACTTTCGGCGATCATACGAAGAAAAACACTCCTTTTCTTGGAGCATATGATCTTACATCTGAGAAGTTCAACTGGGGCGATTCTTACAAACTACCCGCCATACCAGAGGTAGTCCGTTTCTCTTTATGAACATCTTTGGCCAGACTGTCGATATAGTTCGTTATCATGAATGTTGGCTAGCTCCGGTGTACATTCTGACTCTTCATATAGAAGTTCCATCTGTTTGGGTACTGTTTGCTTTACAGAATGACTTGGTGATATACGAGATGAACGTTCGGGCTTTCACCGCTGACGAGTCTTCTGGTGTGGACCCAAGAAAGCGTGGAAGCTACCTGGGGCTAATCGAAAAAGTAAGACTGCAGCATCGTGGACCATTCTACTTATCTTGTGCCTGATTTTGAAGGCAACATTTATGCACTGAGGCAACGAAAGCAGTCACACGTTTGAATAATACCATCAGCCAAAGTTTTAGTACATGGACTTGTGAACTTTGACATTACCGTTATTCTTTCATTGCGTTCATGTGTTGTGCTGAAATTATGTACAACTAACCAAATCCTGGTTCTCAGTTGCCAGTTCAAGCGCTATCAGAAGTGTATCTGATGAATTGTGTACTCACAGATTCCTCACCTGGTTGAACTTGGTGTGAATGCGGTGGAGCTTTTGCCCATATTTGAGTTCGACGAATTTGAATTTCAACGAATGAAAAATCCACGTGATCACTTGGTAATGTTTTTGCCATTTATTCTACCGATTTCTTCTCATTTACATGGTCTATATGGAGGGTCTATGTTATTTGCGAAGGAAACCTACATCTTACTATGAGCTGTTTGTTGGTGATATGTTCGTGACATTAGTGTGTTAAAGTAACGTTTGAGCTGGAATTGATCACCTTGTTCAGATCAACACTTGGGGTTATTCCACAATAAATTTTTTTGCTCCCATGACGCGATATGGTAGCAACTCGGAGGGCCCTATCAGAGCATCTCTGGAGTTGAAACAGATGGTGAAAGCATTACACGACGCAAATATAGAGGCAGGTGTATCAACTCTACTATCTAGGAGTGTTCTGCAGAATATTACTTAACTGAACAATTTTGGATGTACTGAACACTATTTCAGCAGTTAAATACTTTTCAGATGCATCATCATTACTTCCTGATGCTCTTATTGACTCTCCTGGTTAACCCCTAGCTTTCTATTACTCCCCGTCACCGTCAGGTGGGCTGTGAGTAGCAACACTAAAATCAGAACCCCCTATATAGAGGGTTCTGGCACTCCCAACACTAGATATTCAGCTAGATTAGTAACTCCATCCTACTTCTCAGCAATCCATCCCTCAAAATTGTAAATGATCAGAAATGATCACTAGCGAGCTGAGTACTATATAGCCTGCGTTATTTACAGCGAGACTCGCAAGAAATAGATTTCGAACTTGAGCCTGAGATCTAGCTCAAAAACCTAATCTTAAGGTGGCTGATGGCTGCTAGACCCTGATTAAGTCTTAGAAGTAAATTATCAGTTACCTATGCCAAAATTTAGTAACTAATTTTACTATTTACAAATTTTTATTTTTTCGTTGGTTACTGATTCTGAAATTAAAAACTTCATCACTATATTAGTTACCTTGTGGTGATAAAGTGAGATTCTCTTTTATGCCGATAAACTGTTTACTAATAAACTCTCCACTGAGTCGACTTCTACTGCAGTGTGATGCAGACATTGAAGGGTTTGAATGCTAAACCTGCCACGAAATATGTTTAATGTGCGCAGGTTATACTTGACGTCGTCTATAACCACACCAATGAATCAGATGACAAAACGCCGTATGTCACATCATTCCGTGGAATCGATAACCTGGTACTTTTCTTACTCACAGTAAAAGGGTATCAATTAAAGGTCGTTACTTCAATTCCCGGTAGAGGCTTGTTCCGAGTCAAGTTTGGAAGTGACCATTAATTTCATAAGAATGTTTCTCGGATAGAGCATGAATTGGTTCATGCTGTTGAGTAGTGGATCTATCTAAGCTTATGTTAACTTAACTTCGTAGGGAATAAGTGAAATAATAAACAAGTAGTGGTTCACGACAGCGATTTGTTCTGTTTGCCCCTGTTTGTCCCACCAGGTTTATTATATTGTCGACGTGAATAGCTATGTCCAACTTTCGAATTATTCTGGATGCGGTAAGGTTCTGACGTTGTTTGGAACTAAATTTCGAAGAAAGTCATTGTATCTCTGTAATTTGAAAGGAATTATCCACTTGAGGACTAAATCTTGACGTGGTTGTTGTAAATCCTGACTATTTTCTCTATCAAGCTCAGGAAATAGTTTTAACTGCAATCATCCCCAAGTCATGGAACTTGTGTTGGCAAGTCTTCGACATTGGTATGTCCCATCCAGCGCCACTAGCCTTCTGTTGCAGACCTTGTCAACACAACTTCTGGAACAATTTTATCCAGTTTGAACAAATCTGCTGCTGCCTTTTTCAGCTTATTGAAACAGAATTATAATATAAGAGTGATCCCTTACGTTAACTAGTGAGAGAGGACTACTGCTCTGGTTGTCTACTCGTGAAGTTAAAAGTGTTCTTTCTTTAAAGTAGACTTTGACTGCTGTCCATGCTTCGATCCTCTATGAGGCTTCTCGTCACTGACACCTAGACTCGAAAGCTGAATTCTCACGGTTTATCCTCTTGCAATGATGCTTAATATACTTTTATATCTTTCAACCTACGCTTCCATTTCCAGGGTTACTGAATATCACATCGACGGTTTCCGCTTTGACTTGGCGAGCTCACTATGCAGAGATACTAACGGCGCTCCGCTATCTTCCCCTCCTCTTATAAAGGTAAGGATAATTGAGTGCTCCAGGGATCTCTACTCGTACACCTCTTGCTATAGAGGTGTAAATAAAGGAAAAGCTAAAGTTCACATTGCTGCAATTTTACATTTTCATCTTCCTTGTCAAGGTTTAGATGACAAAAATCAATACTCTAAATTTGAAAGTACGTGCTGCTTTGGTGATTCGAATTTTTGCGTGGCTCCTTTACCTTGGATGCAGAAGAGGAGAACTCTGTCTGAGAGAAGAGTTTTCCCTCAGCCTTGTGTTAAGACAGGATTTGCAGAGTTTTGATGGATTTATCCCTGCAGGCAATGGCCCATGACCCTATTTTGTCAAGGTGTAAGCTCATTGCGGAACCCTGGGATTGTGGTGGTCTTTACCAAGTCGGGGGCTTTCCAAATTGGGACAGGTATACTCTATACACGGCAGAATGTTAGCTTCCTGGGGCTACAAATTTATCGTATGTTATACTTGCACAATTTGAGCTTACTGTTGGCACCCTGAACAAGTAGTCTTGATTTGTTTTATGCCACCTCCATTGAATGTTTCTCTAAAGGAGGAACTGATGTCAAGGGCTGGTAAGGTTTGGTGCGTTGAATTATATGAAACCACATCCTCCATCGTATGTGCAGCCTGAGTCCTTACGAACAGAAAGGTGGGGCTCAGTCGAGCTGCCTCATAAGAGCTAACAACACTTTTTACGTATAATCCACATAGATGACATGTATACGTAACTCAATGAGCAGACACATGTACAGATAACGTTTCAAAGAAAATGCAAGTCTGAAACCAAGATACATGTAAAACCTTTCGTTAAGCGACAAGTAAGTCCACTCGTTGAGTAAATAGTTGGTAATCCACATCCAGACACATTCTCTGCATATACATGATATAGTTTCTGCTGTTGTTGCAATCAGGTGGGCAGAATGGAATGGGATGTACCGGGACGATCTTCGGCGATTTATAAAAGTATGTCGATTGTTAAGTTCTTTGCCCTTGAGAGATCTCAGACCGGGCTTGGTCGTAATAAGACTTTGCCATTTACTATGCTTCTTGACAGCTTTCAGGTTTCGCTGTCTCGTCTTTTCCCGATTAGGTCTGCTAATTGAAGAGATTGCATCGGAGAGCCTTCCTTTTTTATTGCATTCAATAAACGAAACCGGACGAAAAGAACACTCACATGTCCGGAACGAGTACTAGCCATCAATTCAAACCATGATTCCAAACCATGTGAGAATCTTGCTATCGAAGCTGAATCGTCCGATTGTGATGTACAGGGAGACCCTGGAATGAAATCTGCTTTGGCCACTCGTCTTTCTGGTTCTGCCGACCTTTATCACGTGAGTAATGCTCTCTTCAAAGCAAGTTCATAGTTTTGCTTATACTTCTCAGGGATCTAACCTAGACTTGTGGTTAACATGATTGGAGGCATATAAATGAGAGGAACCCACTTGCTGATGTAAAGTTGCTCTGCAAATGTAACCAGAATCATAACCGAAGGCCTTATCACGGCATCAACTTCATTGTCGCCCACGATGGATTTACCCTCTACGACCTAGTCGCTTACAACTCCAAGGTGATTTTCTCCCTGACTGTTCTTTTTTACTGAAATCTCGGCATTTTTACTGTGTCTCAGTAGCTGTGGTGACTGCATCAAGTGAAGCTGCATTGCTTTTCTTTCCTCATTTTCGTTTATGAGAAGTAAATGGCCGTTGGTGGTGTTTTGCAGCACAATGAAGCGAATGGTGAACAAGGAAGAGACGGAAGCAACGATAATTTCAGCTGGAACTGTGGCGCTGAAGGTTAAACTCGTTGTTTCCTGGAAAGTTGTATATTTCTGGTTGGTTGTTTTGCTTTTGGTTTGCCAATCTACTCTAATGTTTTACTAGAAAACTTATATACCACCAAGGAGTTGTCCCTGCTAGTGAGAATGATTGTTTCCATCCATTCAAGACTGGGAAAGCAGGACGGTTTAAGTACAACGCATGAGGGGACTTCATCTATGAATCTTGGTGCAAGTTTTCAAAGGTCTGCAAAATATTATGATGTTTTGTATGATCCATTTCCTGTGTCCTAAGCTATGTTCTCTAACTGCTCTTTAGCACCTCCTAAGGTCTACTTATCCCCAATATGAGAGCTCCTTCAGTACAACTGGATGATATAGAGTTCAAAGAGTTGAGAAAATAATTCTGATATCATCGTAAGTTAGTTCTATTTTATAACAATTTGAGGATAGCTTGACTGTATGTTTGCCTTTATCTTGTAATCTTCTGTAGGTGAGACCGACGACGCTGGAGTTAATGCTTTGCGAAACAGACAACTGAGAAACTTCCATCTCGCATTAATGTTATCACAGGTTAGTTTCCTCTGACTGATCTTGCGCACATACTATTGCACCATCAAGGTCTCAAATGCAGTTTACTCCGTGGATTTTTTTTCAAGAAGTTACGAGGTCAGTTGGTTTTTTGTGATGCTACTCTGTTATCATGCAATATAATTTTTAAATTGTCTCGAGTCTTTCAGGGAACACCAATGATGCTCATGGGGGATGAATACGGACACACACGTTATGGAAACAACAACAGCTATGGACATGATACATTCCTCAACAATTTTCAATGGAAAAAGGTAATATTGAAATTCACACAAAGAAAATACATATTCGAAGACAATACACTTAATGAACAAGGTTCGTTCGGATGTTATGAGCGGCACAGATTACTGTCTCGTACTGTTCTTCAATTACCAAAACAAGTCATGAGAAGCTTTAATTGTATATGTATGTGTGCATTTCTCCTCATATGGCCATAGCAGAAACTGTTAGAATTACATGAAAAGGATGTGTATTAACGTTGATCATTTGATAATAACGTTGGGGCATTGCAGTTGGAGGAGAAGAAAAACAACTTGTTTCGATTTTTCTCTGAGGCTATCAAATTTCGTCGCCACCATCCTCTTCTTGGACGTGATTGCTTCTTGTCGAATGTACGTGCTGAATGTGCTTTACAATTTACATGATGGTTATGCGAGTCTCCTTGCATATGTCGGACAATTATACTTGTAATCACTTACTATTGAGACAGTCTATTAAGAAGTTGAGTGATCATTAACCAATTGTTGCTGAGTTCACATCTGTCTTTCCGATGTCTACAGAGGGATATCACATGGCACGAAGACAATTGGGGCAATCACGATAGCCGTTTTCTGGCTTTTACGTAAGTGACTGAAACGAACGTAACTTTCTTGAATCCATTGAAAGCTAGTTAGGTTTGTTGACTGAGTAGTAAGTTTTGAATGTACCACTGGAGTCGTAGAAATTGAAGGCTGTTAACTGATGTTCTGATTGTCGTCTGTAAAGGCTGCACGCAACGACTTCAAAACCTTGCGGAGATTTGTATGCAGCCTTCAATGCTCACACCTACTTCGTAAAAACTGTCTTGCCACGACCACCGGATGGCAAACGCTGGTTTAGGGTGGTAAGTCATCTCATTTAGACACCAGGTTTTTTTCGTATGTGCTGATCAGTAGGACTCAATTTCAAAGTTAAAGCGCTCGCTTTGTTTCTTTGGTGTATAGGTTGATACAAACCTTCCATCTCCAGCTGACTTTGTCTCTGAGGGGGTTGAAGGAGTCGAGGAGAGCTACAACATAGCACCATTCTCCAGCATTCTTCTGCTTGCAAAACCTTGAAACTGATATCTTCCTGGTCGGAGATAGTACATCATGTAAAACACCCATGTGTGCTGTTATGTATCTTTTATACAAGCACGCACCGTTTTTGGCTCTCATTGTGTGTGGAATGTGCTCTATGTAGCCTCCGGAAATCAACGATTTACACTATTTTGTGAGACTAGAGAGCAACGGGAAGTAGTATAGATGGTATGTTCAACTGTACTTAGTACCTGAGATATAAACGGAGGATCTGTATGCGTTAACCCTTCGTTACTTCTTGGGTTCAATGTTGGGCTGCCTTTTTAATGGGTCATGTTCAGATATCTTAATATGAGATCAGTAATGGTTACCATATCCTTAATGTGTATCATGAGTCAGGTTTCCTTAAGTCATTGCTTTTAGGATCAAAGCACATTTTTAAGATGGGGTAGTCTACCTTTTATCAAGCATATTCTAGAGAATCGAGAACAATGAAACCAAAAATTTTCAAAGGATTATCTTGACTAACCTTCATAAATCATACAAAATCACTGAATTTGTTCATTGTACACTTCATCGGTACGAAGTCATGGACTCAGTTTAGTCTGGTCTTTGGACACGTCTTGTAGTTTGTCTCATCTCACGCAAACTTTAATGCCACACACTGATCGTTTGCCTGGTTAAATCTTACTTTTGTCGTCTTAGAAGAGTACTTGAAGCATAGCAAGACGATAGGCTCATTATCTCTACTCATTGCTCAAGAAAGACTCCTAGTTTACTACGATTTCTTGGACCCGACTTGTTCATGAGGAAGATTTGAGCACTGCAGGATAATAATATAACAAGGAATAATTAAACATTTGAGTACTGCAGGACACAAGTCATGTACACATTCTAGAATAGTAGAACAAATTACTTTTCCCATTCTATAGATCATTCTAGCAAGAAACTTTTGGTGCATTTGTTTTGTTTGAAAGATTACATAGCATGAAAAATAACTGGAATGAATATGTAGTTCAAACTAATCAGATAATATGATTATTATACGCATACACTTTTTTTAGCATAAAAGATTATATTATTATTCTAATGATATTTTTGATATGAAATTATATATTATATGATGGATTTTTGTGAATTTATGACATTAAATTCATATAACTTATCCTGTCAAATCCCAAAAGGGTATTATTTTCCATCCATATAACTACTCATGTGATTCACTAGGCAACCTATGACTAGTTTATGTTCTATCAAAGCTCTTATAACTCCAACCCGGCCAAGGTAACCAAGTTGGAGTTGATCATGACGAAGGTTTGCACTCGACACGATGGGCACAGGATTTTTGTGCACGTTCAGTCCGAAATCTCGAGATCCGGATTGTTCTCGACGTCTACCATGAGACTGCGTAGCTCCGAGAGTTGATCTTTGGCCACTTGAACGGATGTGCCGAGTATATGCAACAGTCTTCGACCCTGTTGCTGCTTCACCGTCCTCGATCAAATTTCAAAATCCGCAATTTTGACTGAAGCTCGATCTCACGAAGAACATCTCCTACCGAACCGAATCATCGATGACCAGCTTCGCTTCCATCGCAAGTTCGTACAGTCGCATTCTAGACACATAATTGTCAAATCCTTCAAGGAGATAGTGGAGCGAATGTTGTCATTCCACGATTTGGATACCTTTCTCACAGTTGCCGGCCACACAAAGTGTGCCGACGTGGACATAGTAATAAAATTCTTCCATGCTGTCGTAGATCTTGGGTCATCTATAATTGGAACTTCTAGAATTGCACCAGTTATTTGCCCTATACTCAATAGATGCTGCCTTTGTTTGGTAAATCTGTTTATATTAAATGTAAGTGGATGATCTTGCTTGATTGTTCTATCCATCGGGGTTGTCATCATATGTCGGAGGAATGTCCTGAACGATCAGTTGTACGCTAAATACTGTCCGCGTGGGAGAGTAAACTCAGGATTTTACCCAGGAACATCGAGGGTCATGAACGGCAGTGATAGTGAACATTAAATGAAGGCCTGAACAATCAGAATTTTACATTATCTAAACAATCCCTATTTCTTTCAGATAAAATATTCATCATGCGAAATTGCATATTTATCTAATATTCTTTGCATTAGTTCAAGAGAGAGTATTCCGCTCCAATAATTGAAAAAATCCTCTCTATACGTTTGTCGTACCTCTTGATTCGCAACGAAGGCATATTCAATTCTTGCTTAGGCTTGCGTTGTCTGACGCAGCCTTTAATACAGATAACGTCCCATTACAAAACGTACATTTCCAAGCTTTCGTTGCTACTGAATGTATGAGTTCGAAGAGCATAATTCCTACAACATCTTTCTAATATACAATCCTCCAAGATTATCACTTCATTGAGCAGAAACATTCAAAGTTTTGACGTAATGGGTCAAAAAGTGGGCTCGAAGCTCGTCTTCCTTAGCCCCTGAGTGCGAGTGAATCAACTTTCCATTCAAGAAAAAACGAAAGTTTGGTACTGCCTTCACACCCCACTCCCGCATCAGAGTCTGTTTTCAAGAACCAAGCACACGTTGAGTCAGCTCAAAAGTCAGTATAATATCTATATCATAAACATCTCTAGAGAGGATTAAGACAGCAAATATTTAAGAAGCTATCAGTGAGTGGTTTCTGTTAGTAACTGTAGATACGATGTAAAGCATCATGTGAAACTGAGTGGTAAGGAGCTCAAGTTAGTCAGATCAGGAGAGATGTAAATATGAAGGTAGACTAAAACAAGTGCGAATAAAAAAGGTTTATACAATTAAGAGGCTGACGGTTGGTTTTGAACGAGTCCACATATCTTTCAGGACATCCAGGATAACAAACAAACACTTCATTCCTAGGAGGGTGACTGGTTGAAGTACTGGTTTTCTAACTTGAAGTGCGATGATCATGAGCAAAAGATATCAGTACAGCTAATTCATTCTACTCGACATATAGCCACTTTCAAGTCAAACTGATAATGCAAGTCCTGGGTATGTCAGACTGTCCTAGAGACTGGAGGAAAAAACCAGATAAGTAGGTGTTGGAGAAGTTTTATATTAATTCGAATTACTATCCATATCAGTATGTGGCGAAAAATTACCCTCGTCCCATTGTCGATATCCCCATTGATTTTGAGAAATAATACATCTGGGTACTCGACACTCATTTTCACCACTTTTGGGTAAATCAATTTACAGGGTCCGCAAGTACGGGTTGATATGTCCACGACAACCTGGCACACCAAAAGCAACCGACCGTCAGAAAGTTGATGGTACTTTTATATACACCGAGTCATATATCTAATCTGTCTGTGTAGCCAACATGTGAATCTTTGACAGGACTTTTGAAATCGAGTGGCTGAAACATCTCAGGCCAGACACCAGCGTCTCGAAATTCAACTCTTCCATGAGAGAGTTCGCTTGTCTCACAACGCTGGCTTACGTATTGTCTAAATGATCCCGCCTTCAACACTGCTCAGCAGATGATCCTTCCATTCCGATTTGAGTGAGGCTAGTTCTGAACTACCTAAACGTATGGTTCTTCCGATTTGCTGCATCAAGAATACAGTAATGAGGGATGCATAACAGAAAATTGCAAACTACGCTATTAAACTTGTGGAGGCTCCTCGTCCTGTATTCACACAATCAGGTGGTTCACACAATCAACTGCAAGGTGTTTTAACCAGTATTTTAACTGTCATATCCGGAAGGCTAGGGACCTCGTAGGCACAGCGGCGCTGATTACAAGGGCTACGAGGACGAAGACATGAAAGGGGATGAAGAGAGAATACAAAGTATTTTGGAGACTCCAGGATCACCTCAAGAAAATTACACAAAATAGTTCCAAGGTGGAGAAAGATGAGACGCAGAAAAATTTCTGCTCGCTCGAGGATAGACTTACCATGCGATCGCCGGCTTCTTCTAGCTGTCTTGCCATCTCCTCCGCTGTTAAAGACAAGACAAATATCAATGTTACAATTCATCGAAAGTCTACAGCATTGAATTGGTCAGGAGTTGAGCGTGCAGACGTTTAAAAGCAAAAATAAGACGATTAGAATATATACAGTAAGTGAAGATTGGAACTCTATTCGGGTTTCAGTAACAGCTTTGGGAAGTTAAAACTGTTACACAGCTGATCTACTGATTGATGATGTGTGAGCTCCGAAGGTAACTAAACGAAAATTGTTCCAATAAGGAGGAAAGCCTCATAAGAGTTAATTATGCATATAAGCACCTTGCGATTCTAGGGAGGCTACAATAACCCATCAGGTGATCATTTTTTTCACAGTTTTAATACAGGAAAAAACTTATTTAGCTAGCTGTCGAGCATATCTGGCGCGAGCAATTTGGCTATCAACATAGTGTATGTACATGTATGGAAGGCCAAGCTCAAAATGCCCACAAACGAAGGTAAGGCATCCTTCCAAGAATCTAATATTTGCGGGACAGAACTCTGTTACTATTGGTCAGACAGACAGTAAGGCCTTCATGCCTTCTGTATCCCCGTCTTGAATTTGCACAATTCTTAGCGAGTTAGAAAGCTCCCACGATGACTTCTCACAAGAACAACCCTCAGTCACGGCAAGACTTACCACTCGTGACTTCGATCACGTTCCCGTTGTCAGCATCTTCGGCTAATTCTGCTCGTGACGACGCGACAGAGGAAGGCTGCCTACGGACACCTCTGGCACCTAGAGCCTGAGAGCTAAATCTCGATTGAATGCGCCTCTCTTCGCTAAAAAGGCGGCAATTGTGCTTAGCTACCACAAAAACCGGCTTGCTCTTCTGCGCTACTTGCACAGAGGGCGCAGAAACTTGCGAACAGACTACTTGTCCATTTTGCAAAGCCGCAGGCACAGACACGGTCGCACGCACCATGACAGACGCCATTGTTCCTCCTCCTCCTTCTCCTACCACCTAAACAAGAAGAACCCTGAAACCTCACTCCCAATTCCACAAACTGTACAGTTCTGATCTACTCCTGTGTATCCAAACCGTCCTGAGTAGCACGAAGAACACAAATTCGCCGTCGCCGTGTCCGCTTTTATCCGCCCTCTCTCTCTGTCCCTTCGACGAGAATGCTCAATCCTCGTGAGAAGCGCGAAAAGCTTCAGAGTGCGGGAGGCGGCTGAAGGGCAGGAAGCGATAATTGCAAGAGGCGAAATCGAGAAGGGGAGCGCAGCGCCGGCAAGATCAGAGCAGCGCTCGTCCTGCAGAATGCCGTGGCTCCTGGAACTTTGAGGTGGATGAAGCAATGCACGTGCGTCTATCCGGCTCTACAGTTGGCAGAGTTAGGAGGAGCAACGCAGCGCGACGAATTCCGTGACTCCGTCCATATCCGCGGCGATTTGGAGCCACGAACTCGTCGCCTTCAGAAAGAGAGCGCGGGTCGCCGGGCGCTCCAGCCAGCATTCAAACTCCGCCCCCACGATTCGGAATTCGATCTTTTCTGTCCGCCACGATGGATGGCGATTTCAAGCCATTCAAACTCTATTCGAGCGCACATGAACAGCATCCGACAATCTTCATGACGCAGACGTGGCAAGATACCTGGCTCCCGTGGCTCGCCACTGCAAGTTCGGGTGCTGCCAACTGGGACGGCTACACTGTAAGCACGAGCCGTAATTTGCCAATTGTTACAATGAGAGTGCTTGTGTAACTTCAAAGTACAGAAGCACCTCCATAGCCAGCCAATTATAGTCTATCTATTCTTCGGAAAGATAACGCACATTTCATGCAGACCTGCTAATTTCACAATTCTTCTCTACTGGCGAAAGGTTTATGCATGTCTGGGTGGAATAATTTGGATGCTATTGGAAAGGTATCTAATAGTATCTCCAGAGTGCTCGTTTACATTATAATAGAAAAAGCGACGACGCTTTTTCAGCGCGAGCAGTGTAAACACATAGGTTGATGCGGTATCGAGCCTCTCTTGTTTGTATATAACTTTCAGACTTCAAGATATATATACTAACATTTTCCATGTGATCGATATGTAAAAATCGTTTATGAAGAGTCTTGCGCTTTTTTTGGATGGTTTCTATACATTTATATTTATATTTCAGTTTTTTGTAATATGAAAAAATAGAATAAGCTAAGACAAGTTTTAGTAGTGAAACAAACATGGAGAGATTTTTTACAATAATTTGCATAAAGTTTTCATTTTAACAAACATTCAGTCAAAGGTGAATTTTAGCATAGTTCAACTTTAGTATTTAGATCAATCTTTTTGAACAATAGTTAGTAGAAAAAGAGAAGATGAAATGATTTTTTTATAATATATATATATATTAATTTTTTAAAATTATTCATATTTTTAATATCCCTCATTAAATCACTCATCAATTATGAATATTGATAATGATATATTCATCATTGAAACTTATAATATAAAGATAAAAGATAAATAGAAATTGATTAATATTTCTATAATTTTATCTAAATAAGTTCTTATTAAAAGTAACAAAAGTTTTTATTCATTGATTGTTTTGGAGATTTGACTTAAAGTAAGTGTATATAGCTATTTTCAAAGTGATTTGCAGGTTCATGAATGATGTCATCGTTTGAAGGGGCTGAGATAAAGATTGTAAGCTTTTTGACCAAAAGTATTCAAAATTTTAAATTTGCTTATAAATTTTCATTAAAATTAAAAAACGAACTTCAATATAAAACCAAAATATATGCAATCTACACACTCGATTTTAAAAAACTCAATTAATTTTGAAATGACTTTGATATAGCAAGTTAATCTCCTTGTTAAGTTCGAATATTCCCATCTTATCAATCAAAAAGCTTTTCCAAGTCTTACAATTAGATCTAACATACGCGTTAAAATATGATCATCATCAATTTTTCCAAAAAAAATAGAACATGCATTTTACCTATTACGTAAAGAACAAACTATGATCCATTGATTATTTTAATAAGAAATATTACTATTAAAATATTTCTTATTCAACATAATGATTACCAAGCTAAATTTGAAGGTACTATAATGAAATTAATTAATATATAATAAATTAATATAAATAATTATTTTTAGCAATAAACTGAGCAGTATTTTGAATGGAGGACATTTAAATAATAATTATAAAAATTTTGATCAAAATATGTATCCAGAATGATATGGCAATAATAATAATAAAAATCAGCAATAAAAAGCAGGAGAGTAAATGATGATATTGATATGTGGACAATCGATCTTAGCCCTTAAGTATGAAATCAAAGTTTGAATGAATCAAGTAATATCAATGAAGAACTCATCAAAAGTGTGAGGTGTAGCTTAAAAACTATTCCATTTCTATTTAAAATTTGATAATACTTGTGTGGAGATAACTTCTGACAAAGACAGATTGAACCGAGATAAAAACATGAGAATTGAAAAACTTGCAAGAAGTATATCAATCATGCCGATAAAATTATGTCTGTCAAGAGTAAAAGGAGTATGTTTAAGACAAAAGATGTAATTGATAGGAAAGATCAATCTACTTTGCAATGATATGGATAGGATCAATGATGAAGAGAAAAATACCTACATTGATGAGATCTGAAAGTAATAATTTTGAAATATCAAAAGTATATCATTCTTAAATTTTTTTAAAAGAAATTTTTTTGTTGCTAATACCTAGAATCTTAGTCTAATAATCAGTCATTTTTAGTATTAAAAGCTAAATCTTTTTGTATTATAATAAACTACTAAATTTGTGGGTTTATTTCATGGCTATTGTGCAAGGAAAGACTCTGAAGTTTTCAAGGGAAAGCATCAACGGAGCTCAACTTTCAACATTAAATATTTGGCTCAAGCTAATAACAGTTTGATCCTGAATAATAATAATAATATTATTATTATATAAAGAAAGGAAAATTTTCAAATTCAACATGAAAAGTTTGAAGATTTCAAATGATTTTGACTTTGACTTGAAACGTTTGTTAAATTCTTCATTATAGATGTTAAAAAAGTTCTTCAATGACATGTTTGATGTTTATACAATTACTTTTTAAGAGTTTACTATGTAGTGTAATAATGTCAATTGAAATCTACACTATGACGTTAGATAGGTTGAATTTTAGAATAAAATTCTGTAATGAGAGATATTTTAATGAACTCTTAAGTTTTTAGATATATTCGTATGGATTATGTTTGAAGCAAAATAAATCACTTTTGAAAAATTATTATAATCATGTATACATATTCTGTGGAAGCTAGAATATAATATTATATATCTTGAATAAGAATACAATGAAAATATCACAGTATAAAAATTTCATTTTACACCACATTCACATCAGGTATCATTTTGTAAAGTAAGATTTGTCTTCTTGAGCTTTGGCTTGTCAAGCTTGATAAGGAGATTAATCATTTTGAAATTCTTATCTTTGAATAGACATTGCGCAAAATAATAATCGTTTTAAGTACAAGGCCATGTCCATGAGACAATGCTTCGTTCTGATGAAACGCTTTGTTTTATCTATGTGGAGTTAGATGCTTTCGTTAGAGTATGTATATTTACTACAAAAATATATGCCATATTTGTGTCTCACAAGGTGTTGTCTGCATGACTGATGTGTTTGAAAAATATTTGGTGTAATTCATTATATCTGTTAAGGATTAATTTTTTCAAACCATTTTAATTTTAATTTCTTTGCTAGATTTATGCTATTCTTTAATATGATAAAGTAATATCTCCTCATACATAGCTTCTTGATTCCACCACTGTCTGATAAATAATTTCGAACGCATCATCTTGCTTATTCTTTGATATGTGTTGTTCTCGCATTAAATCTCTTTTTACTTATAAAAGAATTTTGAAGATATATGTAAAGATTGTTGACCATTAAAAAATTTTCCTTCATGTTTTTCCTCTTGGGCTTTTTCACAAACCTATTTTGATTTTTATGAGTCCAATGTCACTCGTCCATTCAGGGCAATATATGGCTACTTTTCGGGTACCGACTCCTCATATCCAAGACGAATGATCATCCCACCTTCCATGCCAAACATTCTATGAACCAACGAAGTTTCTATGGTTGCCAAGATATTTGCACAATCTTGCATAAGAAGATCTGCATCTTCCCTCACTTTCTCTGACCTTGGCTGTCGCGAGGGGTTCACTTCGTATCACTTATAAGAACACAAACGAAGTGAATACTATTGCAGTATATTTGTCAACAGACCTCAACGTACACTAAACTTCAGACTCGCGAAAAGAATCTGAAGAGTCCGTCACTTCCTTCTATCTATCAACGTCAGCCTTTAAAGCCGATAACAGTGTATGATCATGATCAATATTTTCTAAATCTTGGGAATCCAATTTTCTTGAATGCAATTTACGTGACACCAACAACTGCTTTTGGTGCAGCGCCAAAAAAGAGATTTTCTCCTGGATTTTCGCCACGGGACCTCGATTGCAAAGTACCACATCCCACTGATCCTTGTAGGTGCTGCTCTTGGCCCAATCACGTGTTCTCTAATTATTCGCAGCCTTCCTTAACTCTGGGAGTAAGTGTGTATGACGATATTTACGGAGTAGAAACTCCTTCTGAAGGTGACGATCTAAAGAACTTAAACATAGCTCGCCACGGAAAGTAGCACACACCGAAAGACAGATACGAATGGAAGAGCCAGCTTCGACGACCAGTCCTGTAACAATCAATCAGTGTTGATGGGATCGAACAGGTTGAGATTATGACAATGTGAATAATTCAATAATTCATTTTCTTGCTTAGAGGAATTCATTTTTTCAGGCATGTATTGCAAGACTAAGATCATAAGCAATACTGAACAAAGTAGAAAATAGGACTAGCTCTTTTAACACGGCAGAGACGTCCGAGAGAATAAGAGTAACTCTTAGGAATCTGACTTAAGCTACATACTTTGAGCCAGTACCTCGACTTTCGCAGCAATTTTGTTCAGTTTAAGCCATCGTTGATTCTAAGGCTGAGTTATACATGTTCCTCATATAACGCGTACCTTGATGTAAAGTTTTCCATTCTGAACTCTCAAATATCATTTGATCTATTCAGTCTTGTCATTGACATGCCAATACATTTCACTGGGATTTATTTGTATCAGTTTCTTGTTATCTAAGCTATGGGCTGGACAATGTCTGAAGTGAAAACTCCATACGCCTTGACGACTGCGAATTTCAGAAATCACTACTACAGTACATTCTCCTTGTCCTCTCTGCATAATTATTCCAAATGGTATTCACTATCTGTAGATCCTAGAGAGATAGCAGATGCAGCGCGGAATGTCATACCAATCAAGGTCGGGCCATAAGGGAGCAGAGCAGAGCAGTGGAACTGAACCTCCTGTAAAAAAATTGGCCCTCCAGGTATACGAAAATTGGATTTCAGATCGCAAGCAATAGAAACCGGAATACATTACGGCGTAGAGGAAGACCATGTCGCTGGATGTTGAGGACTCATTGCTTCATAGATAAACTTGCTGAAAGGCAGCTGACGTACTCAGTTCTTCGACGAGAGTATTTCACTTTTTAGAGATTCTGTGGAAATTTCATACTTTAATTACTTCAAATTTTCTGCAGCTCATGTCTCAAACCGGCCGAGCAGGCCATCATTGTATACAAGTAGATTGAAGATGGCTAATTAATGTCAAATCCGTACATTTATGATCCAATTTTCTTCAGAGTGGGATGAAGAGAAGGAGTCTGCTGCAAACTTAGAATTCGAGACTTGGTGGTTCAGGATGTTATCACATGCCATCTCATACGTTCAATCTACAACCGTCGTGGTGGATAGAAGACTGAGTTTGCTACTCTCCTTGTAGTGTTCATTTCAGATTCACCTAGCACACTGATTTTGGAGCTACGACGAGTACTGGATACCATGCTGAGTGCCAGAGAGAGAATGAATGTTGTGTAATACAATTATGTTCCATTACAAGAAGAAATAAGGCGGATTATCCGAAGATCATTAGTGACTGGGGGTAGGATTTTTTCGTTTTAGCTGGCAGTGAAGACGAAGTGATTTTCATAAATTATAATATCATTTCTTATTAATGAATCTAGTGCATTTTCTGGTATTCTTCGTGCCGTCCTCATATCCATATGGGTGTACTGTAACACCGGAGTTGTAAATTTTCAGAGAATCCTCAAGGAATGCGATCTAGGTCAAAATGTTAAGACTGGATTTTCGAACTATTCTTGTCGCAGAAATGATACATAGTAAGCATCTATTGGTTGCATAACAGATTCAACTGGATTAGTTGGCACTGCTTAAAATATCCGTGTAAGTGATATTGTTGTTCAGCTTCCCGACTTCCTGAGTGTGATTTCAAAATCAAGACTAGAGTTCTAAGTCTCCTCTAGATGACCATACACTTCCAGAGTTGGAGATTGTCCTTATCACGAGGTTTAGATCTCTTGATCTGTCAAATTGAATTTCTCTTAGCCTTGGATATAAAACCTCCCCGTGTCCGTTTGATACAGCGAGAAAAGTTAAAAAACATGATATCTCTTTCGCAACTCATGACATAACTACTAAAGGCAAGGCTACTTCACCAATGTTAGTAAAGTATTGAACAACTTTGGACCAAGCCCGAAACAAAATCATCCCATGCTTCAGTATTTTGAATGATCAAATAACCGGCTTTCTAGAAAGACTTACCGAAGGTACTCTGTTCCTTCTTAGAACCACAAAGTATGTGAGTCCGTGTTAACAAAGTCTGAGAATTCCTCGTCGGACCAACATGTTACCTGATACGTTTGCTGCATCTCATGAAGTGAATGAACACTGTCTTCACGAAGTGTTCACTTCGCTGGAGAACACTTCCTAAGTTCATCATCTCAATCTTGTGGCAACAGACTGGCCTCTCGTTCCTTTGAAATTGGGCAGTTATCGGAAACAAGTGGATTGATCACTCGACCTTTCTTTTACTCGCTCACAAGTAAGATACTTCTTGCTCTTCGCCATATTCCTATACTTCAAGTTATTATCCTGGCGGGAAATGAATCTCATCGATGTGACGAACATCCTTGAGGAACGGTATGATGCTGTATTCGCATTGTTAAAGCTAGGTACTGCTCGGAAGTCCTGATTCAATTCATTGGTTCCCCCGCGAAGGGGAGGAGGGCTGCGCCGGCCAGGGAGGTAGTGCAATACCGAGGCGACACTGGCGAGTCCGAGGCAGCAAGCTACCCCATTGGACTCGCACCCGTGCAAGAAATTAGATTAATATCGTGAGGGTCGATGACCCTCATATCAGATATTAAACTGATAAGAACAGATACTACACTTGATCTTAGCCAAAAGGCCGAGAAAGGTATGCTTCGTATGTGGAACTCGGCCGTTTATAAGGGTCACAAGAAGTAGAAATCTTTATCTTTGCTTATGGGTTTTAGAGCACGGACTGTTCCCTCTATAGTCATACGGGCCACCTCACTCCCTCACAAACCCGACCATACGAACTCCTGCACGATTTAGTCTTGACCCGGAAGCATTGTGCACAATATAGTGTTTCGTCACAACGAATCTAGCGGGAAGTTACTGAGCTACGATGTGTACTGGGATACAGCGTAGAGCTTGATATTCTTACAATCTCTTTACAGGATCTGTCCATCCCAGGTTTCTACCTTCATTGTGAAACAGCAAGTAGCGAAATTTACGCTTGAGCCTTTAGAATAGTATCAGAGAAGGAGACATCTCAAAATTCTGGTTGAGAATTTCTGCCGAGAATCAAACAAGGAGTTTGTCAGGGTAACCTTAGATTTGCCTTTCACTAGGCTGCATAGGAACTTGAACTTTGTGCCAGTGTGTTTTAGCGTGATGCTTGACGCAGACTGGGGTTACAAATCGTAAGACCTTTCTGACAACATGATAACTGGAACCGTTACCGAAGTTCCTGCTAATGCTCTTTGCTGCTGAAAGCCTAATTGCTCTGGAAATTTCAAATACTTTCCTCGAAGGGCAGAAACCTGCATCAATGGTAACGTGGGCAGTTTTAGGAATCTGACCTTTGCGAGGGCGTAGTCTTCAACGGCAGATCCCTGCTTCTTTGAGAGACTGTGACAGGCACAGTGTGCTGGTTCTGAGTGAAAACCTCACGGGAACGTTGATTCTCGAGTTGGAGTCCTTATGACGAGTGTTAGTGGTATTTGTTGTTGCCGACAACAATTTGGAAGGAAAATTCCGTTCTCCTTGACCAAACGCAAATTTCTTGTGATTTGGATAGGTTTGAGTGTGTCATATCCGAAAACTTTGACTTTTATGAGTTAGGAAAGTTCATTATAAGTGACCTACTCTTTCTAATGGAATGAAGGTTCACGGCCACTCAGCTGCATGTTCAATTAGTCACGCTTGAGTCCATGACTTCTTGTCCATTTGAACGCTATGGTTATGATTTCGTCATGAATGTGATGCTTACACATTACGTATGCACTGCACTTGAATGTTACTTGAAGTACTTCGTTCCAAATGACCATGGTTATGTTGCATTTGTTCTGATTGCATATACTACGGGTGACACTATTTCAGAAAAGATGATAATTAACTCGGGATAGGCAAAGAGTTGAGTGGAAGAGAGAAAGTATTTGGTTATATAAAGAGGTGAATTTATTTAATCATCCAGAGTAATATAGCGATTGAATTAGTGGATGCTGGTCAACATACATGAGAAGGTTGAGATTGGAATGTTGTTAAGAATAAAAGTACAAAACACATCACATTTGCGGATATAGTTGTGGCTGGAATGGAGCAACTAATCAGGGCCTCACTTTTGGCCCTTCAAGAAGCTTGTTAAGAGCTAATTATATTGGTATATCATAATGAGTCACAAGTTGAGCTACAAAAGTACGTAAGAGTTCTGTATCTTTGTTTACTCTGATGGCCTAAACATTTGTAGTGATCTATGGAAGTAAATCGATACTTTGAATCGGATGAAGAGCAGGAAATCTCTTACTTTCTTTTTACTAGTCATCATGTGCGGTCCCAAACGAGAGTAAACCGAGTGATGCTAGCGGTGAATTGAGGAGATTGCAAGTAGGACTGAGGCTTGTATATCCATACATACTTTGCTTATCTTGTAGCTATTGTACATTTTAGTCCACTTCTACATATTCACACTTTTTCTAAGATCTAGAAGCAGGCTGCTGGAAAGGTCCAGATAAAAAATTGATGTCCCGGACTCATGTAGTCATACACTCGGACCTCAATATTTGTAATCTTCTATGGCTGGTTAAAATCTAGTGCAATTCTTCTTTAGTTGGAGATTTGGTAGTCCACAATGTTTGTCAAGCCATGGCAATCTTCTATAGGCCGTCCACGATGTGTGTCTTTACGATGTGTCGTAAAGTTTTTGCAATTTCAGAATGAAGGGTAAAAAACTAAACTAAGAAGAAGAACTTATGTTGAAAATTTCAGTGTTACTAGTGGTGGCAGTGTAACACGTGTTGCAAGGTTGATGGAAGTGATGACCAGAAGATGCACAATGCATGAACGAGGGTAGTGAACCTTCTTGGATGCTTTGCAGCTCAAGGGTTGTATCATACAGGTTGGAACCTTTTGAGCCCGAGATGGACAACTTTTAGAAAGTTAGCACACTTACGAAGTCAGGGGATAAGAGCAACTTTACAAGGTTGTCCCAGTTTGCTTTTGTTGATTTTCACATTTGCGACCTTTTAATTGGACGGATCAACACATGTTTGGCGATTATACTGCTCTCTAGCATAAGACTACATTGATATTGACAGCAAGATGAGACTACGAGATACGTTCCAATTCCACCTTGTGACACAATTCATACACAGATCTACCGTTGTTTGCCGTTCATCTATGATTATACCGTGTTATAATTCTGAACTTTGTTTTGTACAATGTAGCACGTATTATATGTTATGTCTCAGTTTCACAGTCAACTGGATTGTGCTGTAAACAAATACTGGGATAAGTACTACAATTTCTTGGAAATTGATATACAATAGATCTTCTACACCCCCTTCAAAAACTCCATAAGCACTTCAATTTGTATACGTATTATATGTTAGGTTTATATCACTAGGCGCGTCAAGTGTGTACATCAACAGAACTTCACGTGTGTGTGGGAGAGTGTGCTGCCAACAGTTTCTTCAATTGTGAAGACATTTATCAGTGTCAATAAGGCAATAATCACTCACACGAACAGAGTTCTCCTTCTCCGTAATACCTTCTACCGGGTAAAATTAACCTCTACGAATTTAGATGGTCAGCCATGCCAACCTGTCTCCTTATTTCAGCGCACAACATTCTTCACTTTCATCATACATAGAAACAAGTTCGACGGTTGTGAGCGCATTCTGCCGAAGATATCACAAACTTGAGAAATGTGGACCAGTAGGGGATGATGATGACGTGTACACAGGAGAAGCTGAGGACGAATATAGCCACCTTTGGCAGTTCAGTCCGAAGACTACACGGAGACAAAAGACAACATTCCAACACAATTCGCCGCTTTGCCCTCCCGTCAACCCACCATTAAAAAATATCCCGGCTCCACGTCCTTATTCTGGTGAACAAATTTCTAGTTCCAACCAGATGCATTGCACAAGGCAAGCGCTGTCAGGTCATCACTTTTTTGCTTGAAATCATTCCAGCACTCCAATCTATTTGGGAATTTTCTGTGAAGAACAGTGTCCGTTTGCAGGCGAGACCAAGTCTATTTCTGTAACGCGTCAGTGCCCAAACGCCTGGCTGTCAGGACAGTCGAAATACTTAGGTGCAGACTTGTAAAGCAGCTAGAGAACTTCCTCTCGATCAATTGAGTTTCAAGTCGACTGCATCTCCACCTTACCGGGGATGAGCACGTTCGCTCGACGCCCGTTAACAAATTTATTCTAGCGCCTCAGAATCTGGACAATGTTCGAGACAGGTATTGCAGCTGGTTTCGTCAGTGGCTTGTGCGAAGAGGCGACATGTCGGAACAAAGGCTTGTCTTGTCGACCAAGGGCGTCATATAGTGTACGAAGTAGTGTTCTGAAGCAGAATGCAGACAACGTGAGGAAGTTCTTGAGGTTCTGGTCTGAATCCGAGCAGCTAAATGTCCGACTCTCTTCGTCTCTCCTGCACCATGAGTTTCTGACATAGAGCGGTAAGAAATGCCAGTGAAATGACACTGAGAGTTTCAAAGAGGACAATTGGGGCTGGGAACTAACAGACTCGATCAGGACTGATAAACACCAAGATCATACACAAGCTTCTGCTTCTGGGTAAAACTCCTCTAGAGTTCGGGAGCTTGTGATGTACATTGTGCAGGAGGGCCAAGGTGCAGTATTGCCAAGGATGCGGAGCAAAGATACATTCTTATTACATTTGAACATGGTGATCAAAGTTTGTTTAGTATCATGAAAACGAAGTAGTATAATATGTTCGATCTGAAGCTACTTCACATGGTTCTCTATTCTATCGGAATCTAGCCAAGAACCCTAAGTGGAAACTCAGGTTCAAACTCCAATCACAATGATGAAACTTGTTGAGTGGGGAATAGCCAATGCATCAAAGGTGAGGGACATTTTGAAAAGAACAGTTCTGTAAGAGCCAGAACTCAGATAAGAGAGGGAGTTCCAGGAGATTTGTCCCTTAAAATGCAAAGATGCCGGCGCCTATGACTCACCTTACCGGGCTGGTTTGCTTATGGGAGACTGATCTGGTCATGTGTCTCAGTGGGTTCCTCGTCCTGTCCGGCATTTTTGAACCTGGTGATGATGATTTAAGGCTATAGGGTCCTAGAACTGTCCAGGAGCAGACATCTAATCCACGGACATAGTTACACTGCACACTGAGAAAGGGGATGAGAAGTTTTTTGATACACAGGTTTCACAGAAAAATGGGGAATTAACAAATTGGACTCATTTGTTCATCGTTGAAACCACGCTTGCTAGCTAGTTGCAGTCTTCATTATCTTCAGGACAAATGTCCGATGTTTATCATGGCTTGAAGTACATGACCTCATAATATCTAAACATCTGTTGCTGAACTTTTTATTGTGATGGGCATTGTCGTCACTCTGTGACAGGCCTTCACATCGATTCATGGAGCAAATCTAAGCCACTAAAAAACAAGAACTGCTTTATGTCTTCTTGACTAACTGCAGTTCCAAATTTCAATTGCGTGGCGCACATTCTGTATACTCTCACAGAGTTCCCTGGAGGGTGCAACTAATAGAGAACTCGAATGCACATCCACTGGCCAAGATTTCATCTGCCTCGCAGTTTTTCCTAGTTGTTCCTAACTTTTCCTTTCCTGGCAAATATCATCAGATTGAGCATTTTTAGACCACGTAGGAAAGTTCCGGCGATTTTAACCGAAGAAGCTTGCTACAAAGTCCAATCATTTGTTTGAAAGGAATCTGGTGCGTTCCTATTAAGGAGATCAACCTTCCACCTTCCACCACTAAAATTTTATTGGCACCCTCTCAGAAGCTGCTGCTGCCATAGTGATGCGTGCCAAGTTTTTCAGATACTTGAAGACAACGTCTGAACTCGGAAGGGAGGCGAGAAAACTCGGATGAGTCTGCATAAAGCCAATCCACTTATGCAACCGAGGACATTCGTCGAATCCTGGAAGAGTAATGCCACCGAGCGCATCGATGGACGTCAGAGCGGTAACCAAAGGTGCCAGTACAACGTCCAGGATGCTGAACTCCGTCCCGCTGAAGAATGGCCCGTCCGCAGACAGTGTCGTCATGGTTTCGTCTATTTTGCGAAGGCCCTCCATGGAGTGATCCGCCGCCGCTATGCGCTCCAGGGATCCCTTTCTGTACATCATCGCTGCGTGCATCGAGTGAAAAGCTTTGTACATGTAGTCGATCCAGAATCGGACATTGGCTCGCTCGAAAGGCTCTTTGGGATACAAGGGAACTTCGGGAAATACCTCCTCCAAGTACTCGAGAATGATCAGGGACTCCGCTATGGCCTTGCCGTCGTGAATCACAACTGGAACCTTCTTGTAAATCGGATTGAGATCCAGCAGAAGTTTCGGTTTGCAATTCAGGTCCACTTCATCACGACTGAAAGGAATGCCCTTCTCCCTCAAGGCAATTTCCACTCTGCATCCGAAAAAGCTGACTTTCGTCGTCAGAAGCCGAGTGGGAATCTGAGCCACTGTCCGGATCTCTGACATCCTTCCCTCTACGAACACTTCACAAAATGCAAATTAACAAAATTTCTGAAATGCTGGCGCAGCATACCGCACCGAGTCTGGAAAATAGAGTTGCGATGGAGGAAGAGATCAGCTCCGGTGCACGAATACTAGGAAGAAGGCTACCACCGCAATCGGCTGAAATCCGACGAAGAACAGACAAGGAAAGCGCGCATCTTCTTCAGATCATGTGCAGGAGAGGACCTGCTTCGAGGAACGAAATTCCTTCAAACTCGTGAGCGATTCCGAGGACTGCCGCCGGCAGATCAGCTCATCTGCTGTCGGCCTTCCCCATAACTTCCTGCACCGCGAGCATTTGAAGTGGTGCCGACAAAAACCCTGAAGCCCCTCAGAGGAGGACCTCCCGGCCTGGGCCCACGATCCCCCGGCCGCAGAGCAAGAGCACTGGACTAGAAGTCAGCCATCCCGCAGCCACGTCAGCGGAAAGATCTTCGACGCACATGCTTGCCAGGCAGAACTCCAGGGACGATGTACACGTGTACAGTCCACGAGCCATGCTGGAGGTAGGCTGAACGCAAGCCGGGGGATTGAAGTCGCAGAGCTTTGGTCTTCAACCCTGGTTAGACAAAGCCTGGTTAGTTCCCCATGTGCCTCCCTCCACTCCTGGCAAAGGAGTAGTTGATAGACTTATGATATTGATTCGAGGTTAGTATATACTGACATCCCTTTCTTCCCTGTGCCTCCTTTTCTCCTAGACCATTCTATATTCTTCATTTTATCGATCGTTCGACTTACCGTCGTTGAGTGGAGTTGGAGTTGACGGTATTTAGGATCGGTTAAAGAAATACTTCGTCTCAACTTTTCCAGTGATTACTATTTTCTACTATAATGTGCAACTATCTATCTCATCCAGCCATTAGAACACGCAACATAATTCGAGTCTTCCTCAGGCGGGCTTTTTGACTGGATCAAATATTTCTTTCACAAATATCTCTGTTTCAAGGTTAATTTTTTTTGGTCTAAATGGATACTTCTTCAAATGCGGTTTCATCTCATACTTAGCGTCCCCTAAGAAACGGAGACATATAATTTATTTTCTACTTTTTGAGTAGATTTATTTTGTCTCGTCACTAGGAATCTTAGATGATACCATTGGTATTATTAGTAAATGCATGCAAGACTATTGATTCGCACTATCTAAGGTTCACCGGGGAGAGATCGTATTCACCTTTCAGTGTCAATGTCAATTCACTACCCTAAACTAACCTTCAAACAACACCAGTTATGTTAATCTTCCAGTTTATTTAACGATGATTAAACTAAACCAGGTCAAACACTCATGTTGATGAATGTAGAATTGGAGATGCAGAATGTATGATGTATGGTTTAGGAATTAACCGGAAGACTTTCGTGGTTTGAATCAAGAACAACTCTAGAAGCAATGTAAAAGCTGTAGCTATTAAGATAATGATGTCATCTACGTGTACGATACGTGTCAAATGTCTTTGAGAGATGGTTAGAAAAATTACATGCATGTTAACAAAGAAGTCCAATGTAGATCAGAGATGGAAGCCTGTATCAACTTTTGCAACAAAATTCCTTACTTTAAAATTTCCAAATATTCTTTCTTGTGGCAAAAAACACTTCATAATTCAACTATCCGCAAATGTGGATGGGTGCCAATCACACTTTTACAACAGGCTGAACCTTCAGCTTTCAACGAAGTCATGTAGTACAGCCAAGTCTTAAGTGGTGAACTTCGAGCACAAAAGAGGAAAATTCGAGCCCAACTTTCGACTATCGAAATTTAACCTTGCGTATTGCTTTCCACTTGGGCAATACGTTCACTTTGCTCACCCTCGTACTGGTTATGTAAACCCGTCAAAGCAGGTTAAATCAACCTAGAACACGGCAAGTTCATCCATATGCATTCAGGGTCTGTCCAAGATATAATGTGAGGACACATCTCTATGTTAGAAAAATTTACACGAACTGGACAATGCAAGCTCAGAGTGTTAAACAATTTATCGAAGTGATCGATAGACGTGAAAATCCCACCTACAGGATGTTGCAGTGTGAAAGTCTTTGTAGAGATTGCGACATGGTCAATATCAGAAGAGACTCGACAAATAACTAAACAACGAAGATATTTAAAGCTCCAGCTTTGCAGTTCAGCAATTATATTTTTGTGCTCAGGGAAGAAATCAGATGCAGCATAGGCGAAAGAAGAACTAGACAAGACTCAATCTGGAGAATAAACTGATCATGTTGTAGCAAAACTTTCGAGTGTCTTCTTGTCTTCTGCATCATCTCAGAGTGCTCTTTCTGCAATGCCTACTGCTGGAGACAGAATAAGGCCGGTAAAATCAGGAGATATAATCTACAACTTTATTTGTAAATGATGACAAGCCGTGGCTACATTTACGTGTTCAGTAACTTCTATCTTTTCCACCTTATTACACTTCGTCTCTAGACGTGAAACGTGGATGGTGTAAATCCTGGTGTCGCCCCTGCCCAATTTTGTTCCAGTGTCGAGGGTTCATCGTAAAAATTGGTTGCATGACTAATCCTGGGACTGTACAGTGAGAGATTGCACTTGTAGCGCACGGCCTCTAAACAAACAAAGGGAGACAAACAAAGCCTTCTAAACTGAATGATGTTTGCACAAAGCTCATTGTGTGTCCTCTAAAGTGGCTGAGGAAATAGCGTTCCCTTGCAGGAGTCCATTGCGAATTTGGTCGGCTATATCACTAACGTGACCTGGTCCATGAGGAATAAAGACAGTGGTGTTTCTAGAATTGTTGCCAAGCTCCTTCATTGTGTCAAAGTACTGGGTAATAAGAACCATGTCCATCACATCCTTGGCAGAAGTACCCGGTACGTTGTGAGAGAAGGCGAGGACGCTGTCACGTAATCCATTTGTGATAGCCTGTCGCTGCCGAGCAATACCAACACCAGATAGATACTTGGCCTCTGCTTCAGCCTCCGCGCGCTTCACTTGCAGGATTTTCTCCGCCTCTGCCTTCTCCACTGCCGCCATTCTCATTCTTTGTGCTACAAAATGGAAAAGGTTGCACCACGAGTCAGTATGTAACGAAATCTTCCTGTTCCTACCAGATTCCACGCCACATATTCAAGGTTTCATTCCAAAAAATGTACTTCATTAGAGGTATGTGAGACAACACATCTAACTCAACTTTTCACTAGAGGAAGAGAGGAAATTCAAACCTGCATTAATTTCATTCATGGCACGGCGAACAGTTGCATCAGGTTCAATGTCGACGATCAGGGTCTGCTCAATACTGTAGCCATAGTTGCTCATCACCTGTATCTCGACAAAAAGCGGGAAATTCAGAAATTACCCCCCGACAAGTGCCACTTCTTTTCGTAGACTTGATTTATGTACAGAACTAAAGATATCCTAAATAGACCCAGAAAAGTAGTCCCTCTTTCGGGTTTACAGCTCTTAGCCAACATTCTTCTACACATGCATCTCACCACAAAAGACCATTGCATATTACTACAACAACAACAATATCTTAGATAGTCGTTCCTCAAAAAACTGCTTCCCCTTGCCCATCAATATGCCATCCTCAATATCAACAACAGCTAAACATGTAAGCTTTAAGGTAAAAGGCTTCTCACTTCACACTCTGGCAACGACTAATAAGGCTACAGGAATTGCTTGGCAGGCTTACAATGAACAAGGTTCTATCATATCTCTGTCATGTGAAGGATCATGAATGGCTTTGGGAAGTGTTTTCAAGCTCGCCCCACCAACTCTGATCAAAGAGCCCACATGTTGGATAGATGTAAGAGAACGTTATGGATCAGACTTCACCTTTTCGAGCTCTTCCGACACACTTTTTGCCACCTCGTCTTTCTGTTCGAAGACATCATCAAGGTTCATTTTTGGAACACAGGCACGCACAACTGAAAAAAGCAAGCAATAAGCATAAGGTCAGGTTCAGGATGCCCTGACAACTTCGATACTACATCAGGAAAGAGAACGTCAGAAGCGAATGCTAAATACTTCATGTAGTGTGTCTGTTGTATGACTGGTCATTCACCAACATCGACTTCTGCGTTGTTATATTATTCATAGTTTTGGTAGAGAAAGATGTACCGTCGAACACATAGGATTGAATTTGTTCTTTGGGATTCTGAAGTTCGTAGAAAGCATCATCAGCATTTTGCTTCACCACACGATACTGAATGGAGCAAACGACTAGCACAAACACGTTGTCCTGCAAAGAGATCCACGAAATGCCATTCAGTCAACTTGAGATAAACATGCGGAAACCAATTCACAGTGACAGGGTTACACTGGTTCTTTCGATCATCCAGTGTACACACCACAGACAAACACCGAGAAGTGACCGTCAATTATTCTTGTGGAGAGTGAAAGGATCTAAGGATGCAAGAGACTAACTCTTGCATCCTCTTTGCGTAAAGACTCGACTCCTTAGTAAGACCGTAGTTTCTGTAGTCCAAAACCTGTGTAGTTCACGTGTAGCATAGAAGAGATCTCTCGAGGACCGAGGAAAAACTGTTTTTACTTCCACTATCTAAAAGCTTCAAATCCGAGAGAGGCATTCAGCACACGTCAAGAGGATAGACTTCTCACGACTTAGATCCTGAATATGTGAGGCAGCTCAATCCTCATGGAACTTCCCTATTTCCAACTGATTTATTCTTACAACAGCAGATAGAATAAAAGATATTGTAACCGAATTGATCAATTCTTCAGCGGAAAATAAGAAGAAGGGCCGTGTATCAAACCTTTGTCTTCGTATCACAGCGCACATCTAGAGACTGTACACGAACTGAGAGGAGACCAGCCATCCACTCTCCAAAGAAAGGATTCAAACACAGAAGCCCAGGTTGCGCCACATGGGAGAACCGACCCCATCTCTCCACAATTCCGATCTTGTCATTAGCTACACACATCAATCCGGTACCCATTTTGTCGCAACAAAACCTGTAGGTCACCTGCGAGTATACAACCTTCCAACTCCTCCTCTTCCTGTCGCTCTGCACCTCTTTCCTTTCAATCTGCAATCTAAAAAATCCTCCTGATTCAGCTCACGACGACGTACTCGAATTGGCGTCGCTTCAATCCACAATGACGAGAGCAGATAGGCTTCAAGCGATACAAATGTTCCAGAAATGCAATCCAAATCGCTGCCTTTGCTGTTGCACGCGCTTTCTCACGATTCAGCGATCTCTTCGCTTGCTTGGTCCTCACTCCCTAGGCTCTCTCTGACCTCGCCTCTTCTCGTACTGTGTAGCCTGCCCTCAGACAAGAACTTGCAATCTATATCCATCAGTCCACTTGGCACGTTCTGCAGACAGTGCTATTTCTGTACATTAGAGGGAGATGACTTCACATTAACTGGAACTTGGCAATCTATGAAACGAATTAGCAGCGAGTTACAGAGAAGAAAGGGAGAAACCAAGCGGGTACGCTGGAACTAGTCCCAATGTCATCGCATTGAGGAATATCTCATAGTGAACATAGAATAAATTGGGTATGTAGATATGAAAAATACATACTAATGGAGCATCCAAAATTCTCATTCACATACACATTGTCTCACCAGCCATGCTCTCTTTATGAAAATGGTCACACGAAATAAAAATTATGGATCACTTGTCGAGTATCCATTCAGCAGGGTGATTTTTCTGTGCTGTTATATCTGTGTACATTAAGTGTTTGTAAATGATTATATTACATTGTAGTGACACATAAAGTCTATTCTGTGGAACATTGTCACATATCCGATGGTCACAAGAATCAAAGAACAAGTTCTTGTGCGACCTTGACTATGTGGTGCTGGCTTCTAGTCCAAGTCTTCTTCAATGAAAGTCCCATGTTGGTGTGACAAGTGGCTAAAAGTTTCCAATGGATAGCTGACCATGTCCGCGATTGAATAAGTCCCAATCATCTTGGTGTGAGTTTCTGTAACTTTAGTCATTTTCTCGAATCAAGAAGATGTGTTGCGTACACTTTGGAGTCCACTGATTTTCTGAAGATTAAACATAGTATAACGATATCTTGATGTCTTTGACACTTTTTTTTTCACAAAGTCATACATATGTTCATGGTGCTTTTCAATAATGGTGGTATGAGCTATTTATATTTTGGACTTAAAAGATAATGAATCCTTTAGTTATTTTCTTAAATTCATTTGAAGTGTCCGCATTATTTACGTGTTAATCCATTTCTGGTGTTGTACATGCGTACACAGGCTGTGTCATTCATTATACATATCAGACATATTGCTATATGGAAGATTTTATCGAGTCTTGTTGCTTGTAGTTTGCTATATTTTGAATCACTGTCACTTGCAATATTTGTCATAATCAAATTATCAAACGAAGGTCCATTGTTACCGATAAGAGCTAACTTATGTATTCATCTTTATATTGGATCGCCCCCATATAACATTGATAAATTTTCATAGAGCATTTGTGCACCATGAGAAAAACATCTGACATATGTTGATAGTTGATCTTTTGATCGATGTGACCTTTCTTAGAGATGAACTACATATATCTGCAGTTTGCCAATGGTATCTGTCATGTAAGTCACTACTCTACAACATGCAATTGACACTCAGTTCTAACATACACTCTGAATTATATTTGCCATCGTTATAAAGCTCTACTGCAAATTTTATTATTGTGAGCTTTTGTGTTACACTTATTAGCATAGGTGGGTCATGTTCAATAAATCAGTCATGCATTTCTCTGCCGCACTAATGAGATTCATCTTATGCGCTTGAGGGTATGTGTGTCAAAGTGTAGAGCATCTGCTTCTTTGAACATTAAACTTTACTTATAGATTTACGTCTCAAAATAAGTTGCCATCCTAGACGATATGGGAATTACATTGTTATCATGTAGTGTAACCTGTTTTAAACAAAGAGCATCATTTCCCCTACATGCAACAGTGGACCTTGCAATTGATAGTAGATCAATCATAATATGTGATGGTTCTTGAAATATTCTACTTATATGTAGATGAATTGATAGTGAGGATATACGAGGTAAATGCCATTGTCAGGCTATATTGGGTAACCAAATCTAACCGTCTTGGTTTGAAATCTATATTGGTAAAAGATCGGATGCCTAGTGGGAAAAAAAGAGTTATAGCTGATGGGGTGGCTCCATCTTTTCGGTCTGAGGAGGTTATTTAATCTTTATCAGAACCTGTGGACAGAGGTGCTACGTTCGATCTCTACGTGCAGAAATACACGTCTCTTCATGTGGGGTCGGTAATGCGAAAGTAGCCATTGGCTTTCAATGTTGTAAAAATTTATTTATTTATTGATTTCGCGTCCACAGTTAATCGCCGCTCATGCAATTTCACTTGGCTTGTTCTCGAACACATGTCATGGTAGTTTCAGGCGTTATGCAGAGAACAACAAGAATCCAAGCGATTCCGATGATCTTGATTCGTGCGCAGACAGATCATCGTCGTCGTTGTGGGAGTGTAGATGTCGAATTCGTAGCCTAAGGCCAAATTCGCAGTTGAATAACTATATTTCTGTAGACTAGTGGCGGGCGCGTGCAGCGGGCCGTGAACGCTGCAGCGCATTAAAGACTACAGGCCTGCCAAAGGTTGGCCCGTGAGGCTATCCGGATCCGTCACGACACTGTTCTGCCGTAGGTGGACGCGGAAGCCAGGCCGAACGTACTCCTCGATCGCCATAGTTCTGTGAAGATCTCGTAGGACAGAGCCTGATTTGGTGAAGGTGTGATCTCAGGTCTTGGGTACCAGGAAGGTGTGCCACAGCTGTGGTTGTGACGAAGTGTCGAGGGAGGCAGAGCGGATTTCGAGCCCGGTTATAGCATTTGTGATCAATTTCGATTCTTCTCTCGAGAGGTCGGCTTGAGCTGGCTGGAATGCTGTGTGGAAATCAAGTTGTGAAGACACCACGCTCATCGTAGCTGTATCTGGACGTCACGTGCGGTAGCGCAATTCATTAGGTTTGTGAGTTTTATTTTCGCTGAGGAGAAGAATGAGACACTGTGAGGCTCAAAAGCGACGATGTTTTGGGCCATTTCTCAGTCTGGTTGATTTGAACTTCGTGATTTTAGTCGCTGGTGTTTTGTACCCATACTGTCGATCAGTGGGGAGCTCCGAGTTGTTGTGAAGCTTGATCCGCAACTCGGCACTGATGCTGATCTGGACATGTTGGAGCCACGTCGTGAATTTCGTGTTTGGAACACGTTAGAATTTCGGAGACATGTAAATCAGTCTTGTGTTAGTGGAACACAAGTGCGAAGATGTAGGCGCTATTGCGGATCAGCTTCAGTGCTGCGGACCAACGTTTGTAAGTTCACAGGAGTTGAATTTCTCTTGTTTGAGCACATCCAGAACTGAAGATCTACTGTGCTCAGTTCAAGGTGAATTGAACAACCCCTGTCCCCGAAGGTTGGAGTTCGGTTTCGTTCGTTGATAATCGGGTGATACAAGGTTCAACCATTCATCTGCAAAGATGAGGCCTCGCACGCCCCCGGTCAAGTCGTCGGTTACAGGAACTGGAGCTGTAGACGAAGAAAGGGACAAGGAGAAAGAGAAGGCCACGTTACTGGGACTGAGGAAAAAAGGCATGGGCGTACGGGCCTGGCTAATGATCGACGCAGGTGGAAAAGCCCAATTGGTGGAGGCTGGTAAGCACGCCATAATGCGAAGAGCCTGTTTGCCGGCTCGGGATTTGCGCATTTTAGACCCTCTACTTACCTATCCTTCGACTATTCTGGGAAGAGAGCGTGCTATTGTGGTGAATTTGGAGCACATCAAAGCGATTATCACTGCGCAGGAAGTTTTGCTGTTGAATTCAAAGGATCCGGCGGTTGTGCCCATTGTGTTAGACTTGCAGCGCCGGCTTCCTCTGCATTTCAACTCTTTTGGACAGCAGGTTGTCACGATAAATTCTGATGCAAATTGTCTTGCATATACATTGTCCGGATCTATGATTTCCAAGTCTTGCGAACGTTAAGCCGTAGTCATCCGCATAAAGTAGTGAACTTTGTATCACGTTGACCAGCTTCTGCTTTTGTTTGGTTTGGGTTATCAATGTTCACATTTCGGAATGCAACTGCAGGTCGCTGGAGACGGAGGTGGTGGATTAAGTGACAACGAGGGAGATGGCCATGTAAAGCCACCTGCAAATTCTCCAGCAGATGGCATGAGTAGGGTGTCATCAAGCTCAAAACTGAACAAATCAGGACAAGGTCCACAGACACAGGGAACATCTTCCGACTTGCCACCTTCTCCACCTCAGTCGCGGGCTAATGATTTTAGAAATGCTGGTGGGAGTCCACCTCGTGCAAATGGTGGTCCCAGTGTTTTGCCTTTCGAGTTTCGAGCATTAGAGGTCTGCCTAGAAGCGGCGTGCACCTGCCTTGATTCTGAGGTCAGATTCTATACCGAGTGAGAGCACTTTGTTTAAACTTTGGTAATGTAAGGATTTAAGTTGTCTATATTATAGGGCCTTTGGCCGCCCTTGTTCCTTGTTCGAGAGGTTTCGGTTAAATTTCTTTTCATTATCTTACCAGGTTAACATTATTCTCCACATAGTTCTTATAATTCATGGATGTTGGTTCAATGTCGAAAGTATGCTACGTGCTGACCTCTTTCAGCTAGTGTTTTTCTTCAATATGATGAGATTTTTGTATTTCAGGTCAAAGCAAGTCAGCCATCTCTCACAACGGTGACCCACCTTCTCTGTACAGACCGTTACTTTGGAGCGAGAAGCCTATCCAGCTTTGGATGAGCTCACTTCGAAACTTAGCACCCTTAATCTGGAGCGTGTCCGACAAATAAAGAGCCGTCTAGTGGCCATCTCTGGTCGTGTTCAGAAGGTAACTAACCTACTTTTTGCTTGGCAACAAGTTCTCTTCTCGAGCGTTGTGTGAAGAATTTGTTTTCAAGGAATAATGAACTCAGATATACTGGTTGTTTGCATATGGATTGTCGTCTATGTGGAAAGTTTATCTTCCTTACCCTCTCATTCTCTGACAGGTTAAGTATATCGTGTGTGCCTTAGATAATTTGACAGGAAAGAAACCTGAATAATTTGTGTTTATACTATATTGGATCAGAATCCATTTTACTTATGCTAAGGTATAGGTTTTGAGATGTATCTTGTGGCGCTCTTATCCGTGGACCGTCTTTGATGGACGGTGTTCTTCTGAGTAATCTATCAAGAGTATGGCCTATCATGCATTTTGTCACGACTTGTCTGTGTTTATTTTTTCGAACTTCTATGACATACTGAATAGATCATAGCTTTTTTGGATTTCCATATCTTGTGCGTCTTGTTTAAAGTCTTCAGATGCACGTCAGTCCAAAGCTTACAGTTCAAGTAGCAGTATTTAGCAGCTTTTCAATGATGACCCGTTGTTTCTAGTTTTCTGATGCGATCATGTTTTGTATGTGTTTAAATATTACGATCGAGCGCTTCTCTGGTATTGTTCAAGCATGCTGCCTCTCAGATCGTTGGTGCCAAAACCGAAATGCAGGTCAGAGATGAAATTGAGCAACTTCTAGATGACGACGGAGATATGGCAGAGATGTATCTGACGGACAAACTTTTGCGCAACATGGAAGGGGCCCTTTCACCTACATCATCTGACGGAGGTGCTCGGTCCATGTCCTTCAGTCATATGGACATGGGGAAAATGGATTCATCTGCAGACCTAGATAAAGCCTCCAATGCCGTCCAACCTGACATTCAGGACTCAGAAGCAAATGAAAAGAGGTGTGCTTCTGTGTTTTTTTAAAGATGGGCTTTTAGGTGGATATTTATATTTACGTTCTTCTTTACCATGACCAGTCAGTCTAATGGATGTCAGATTAGGATGTTTTCTTGTTCTTGTTTTTTGAGTGTGGAATTGGCGAAGCCTTGCGGAGATCATAATTTTTGACTGTTGTTCCCCTTTCATCTGTTGGGTATGGTGTAGTGTGTCCAAAGCGTACATCGGTATGGAAGATATGCTTCACTCGGAGGAAGTAGTTGCAAAGAGAGCCATAGTTCGTAGCAGGAGCAGTAGTAGCAGCAGTTCATCTAGCACTAGTCACGGTGGAAAACTGGACGTGGAAGAACTGGAGATGCTTCTGGAGGCCTACTTTGTGCAAATTGATGGAACTTTGAACAAGCTGTCAACTGTATGTCTCAAGTTGCATTCATGTTCTGCTGCTTTCTGATTTAAATGTACTGGTGTACTCCGTACCACTAGGCTGTTCAGACTACCCTCAGGTTTTGTAATGTATAGCACCAGTGAAGGTTTTTACACAGGAAGAATGACGCTTATTCGTTTTTCTTGCTTGTAACTAAGAATATGAGACGTTTCTTACGTGCGTGTTATGTGGGTTGCAGCTTCGTGAATACGTTGATGATACCGAAGATTATATCAACATTATGCTGGATGACAAACAAAATCATCTTCTGCAGATGGGCGTCCTACTGACTACTGCAACTCTTGTTGTCAGTGCATTCATTGTGGTGACAGGAATATTTGGGATGAACATACATATTGATCTTTTCGAAGCAGACAACGATCACAGTAGAGAGTTTCTCTTCGTAGTGGTTGGATCATTTATTGGGTGCGTGACTTTATACACCGTTGCAATAGCATGGTGTAAGTACAAACGGCTAATTGAGTGAAGGGTATCCGGACCATTGTGTGCAAGTTAGAGGGGAAACAGTAGAGTCGCTGTTTCTGCTCTGCCGACTAATGCCAAGTAAAAGCACGCCAAATTATGACACCATCACCATCAAGTATTGATCCCGCATGACCGTCACAAAGTATTGACAAGGGCAAATGAAGACAGCCAGGTCTGAGATGACGGGGTGTGTAGCGAGCTAAGTCACCTCAAAGTATGAATGATTCGTTACTCCACATTTTTCGTCTGTAGGGAGTCCAAAGATTCGGCTAGACTTGGTGTAGGTTTCATTTATCTGTTCCCTTGAGCCTGTTACAAGCAGTGTATGTAATGTTTCGTCAGGTCTTTACCATTGAACGTTCTAGGTGTCTGAAATCGTAGTTTGTACCTTTTTTGGTAAGCTACTGCAGTTCTGGCAGCCTTGAGAACGGTGAGTGGTTTTGTGCCGTGAAGTGTACGATATGATATTGGATGGCTTGTGGTGGTCATTCTGATAGCTTTGTTACTGCCTACCATATTCCAATAAAAATCCACGAATGGTCCAAAATTTGAGGCGTCGCATGTCGATGCATTATTTACTTTCAGGTTTCTGTGTCTATCTAGTGTTCTCGTTATACGTCCATTCTTACCGAGGACCTTCCACGAGTATGTCAGGATAGTGTGGACTCCTTGTAGAGTTGCTTCACTCCAAGAGCGAGGTTGACTGAGGTTAAAAGTCCTCCAAACGCCGAACACAACCACCGTCCAAGACGAAGTGGAGAAATGATGAACACCACGCCAACACAAGAAAGTACTCAAGCATAAGAGGCCGAGTATGCTTCAGCAATGAGACTTTGTCTGTTGAGATCGTAACTCGGGACCTGCATGGCAATTTGGAGGTCGAGATTGTCAAGGAGGCGTTACTGGTAGGAAATTACCATATGTTCTCGAGTCTCCTTTGATTTAATTACGGATTACGTGATTCTTTCATTATGACTTTCGTGGATTGAGTGTGGTGCACGAGTCTATCGAGTCCATAACTTGAAGCCACGTTCGCCGTGCTGAAGAGTCATCACTTTCTCCAACTTGACGCTAGTTACAAAGTGCACAATCCACAAACAAGGTCCACCGCTAGATGAGCGTGCGAGCGTGCGAGACACAGCTGTAGGTCATCGCTTTTGTGCATTCTCAGACAATCCTGGCACGCCCAAAGTCTTCCCCAAAGATGAGCACCTTTCATTCGTGACTGCTTTTGAACTCGGCAACTAGTCCACAAGTTTTGTTTATCAATCTTCTGCAGAGTTCGAGGGATTATCTCAAAGTCGGTCTAAAGGAAGAGTAAGCCACACGGGCGCACATATAGGACGTTCTTATTGTCCGAGATTTGTAATATAACACGCCTACTTCTGAATAGGTGAGGACGTGGAAACAAATGTACTCTTTCAATTTACACAATTTTCGGGCAGCGGAATGTGACGATTCTTTGGAAGATATGCTCATGTAGACCTTAGGATATTCGGTCCTATTCCCACCCTACCCTTGTGGCTTCATATCTTGATCGGTCGTTCCCGTCATTTATATTATTTTATAGGACTTGTACTCAATTACACAATTTTAGACCCCAACCTAGTAATTTGATATCATGACTGAAAATGCAAGGGAATGTCCAGCTTCTACTCATTAACTCACAGAAGAAACGCACGAAAGTGACATAAATTGAACCAAGCAGTGCACGACAGCCAGAATCTTTATAAGTTGCCTCACATTAAAGCAGGGCTTGCAGAGGAGGGCCACAGTTTTAACGTTGAAAACTGCACCATTGATTATTAATTTTCTTCACTGGATTTCATGTTGCATCGAACTCTATGTTTCTTCATTGGACCATGTCGGTTGACCATTTTTGGACGAGGTCAAATTTCCGCGCCGCTTAACTCTACATTTAGACCTTACGTGTGGTCACAGTCCTAATAATGTACCCAGGCAGGTCTTCCAAGATTAAGCTACAAGTTCTACGTCCGAGGAAGTTCGGTACTGAAGGGATCTTCTGATGGAAAAGTATATTAAACTTAAATGCCAGATTTAGTTATGAACGTGCAGAAAAGTAATGTAGACTATGAGTCAGAGTCATGACTCTGTTTGCATCATTACTGTGTGTGTGGTTTTGACTTGTCGGGTCTGAAGTAAGTAAAAGCTTTTCTTTAACTTTTGGCAGATATAGGCATGTTAAGAGATCATAGCATTCGCATGACCGAATCGAGCAGCAAGTATTGTCCATATTATTTAAGTTTGTAAAATGTAACATAACCGGCTAAAAAAGACACCGTGCCGATACTCTACATAACTGTCGTGTACATATGCTTCACACTCCAGCATGGAGCTAAGTGCACTGTCACTGCAAGTCATGACACTTTGACTGTGACCAAGACAATGCTCGAATCATGCTCGACACGTTTCACAACGGGAAGTTCTGATCTGCAGGAGTACTTAGTCAAGTCTATCGTCTGTGAGAATCTTGTATTTTGTAGATGTATCAGCAGGATTGGAGCACCGACTTTTCGCAGAGAGATAGTTGAGGTCAACATCCCGCTCAATTTGTGCCAATAAAGATAGTTAATTCATGCAGGGCAGTTTTCGATACGAATTAACCAGTGACCGATCTACCTGATCTGGCCCTCCCCTCTAATGTATTGTTTCTTCACATCTATCGTATGGGATCCGATTTGTATATCAACCAGTAACTTTCACAAATTTCAATGTAGAAGAATTATAGACAAGGAAATAGTATTTGGTAACCAGAAAGCACTAGACAATGGTGGGGGAAACTGTCACGTTTTTCAACGGACGTGGTGATGGTTTCTTTTAACCATAATCAGTAATTATTGCGAAAAGCGCAGTTTCAATAATTTTTGTATATATGATGCCCTTCGGTATTATGAGAACCAAGGTCCTAACTCTTGACACTTCAAGATCCTTTTCTTCACGTAGACAATTGTACATCCGAAGCCGGAGCGGAGAAGTGAAACGTGGCAGACGGATGTGAGCGAGTTGAAGATTGTGTCAGTTGGCTGTTTTTGTTACACATGCAGTTGAATCCTTTTGGACACTTACCGAGTGTTTTTTTATTTCTCTTGTTTGTACTCGTCGACCAAGCATATATTGCAAGAACACAATGAGAGGGGGAGGGAACACAGAGGAACGAACGTGTTCTGCATGCCACATACGTAAAACTTGGCCCGGTTGGGTCTCTACGATGTTACCACATCAGTCGCTCCCTCAAGATACATGTCAGCCATTCCTCGTGGAATGTCTGCCAGCAGACAACGAGAGTCGTCCATGCCCTCGGATGGGATTTCTCCAGGAAAGAAAACGTGCGGTATACTAAGAACTGACCGGACCCACGGGTTAACTAAACCAACTGGATGAGATCGACGGGAAAGTCGAAGGCTGACTTCTCGTCAAACCATGACCCATGCTCGAATCGGTAACCGCACTTCACTTGTGCCACGTATGGATAAAATATATCGGCATGGTTTTCTTCACGACTCCAGAAAATTTAGAAAAGCTTCCTTTTCGGATAGACGACACGAAACTGAATGCGCCGAGATACTTTGTTCGCATCCGACGTGGTACAAGTGCATCGCGTGTCATCGTGGTCGTGTACCATGAGTCCAAACTTTGGCTCCGAGCGCCGGCTGGGTTGGGCTGTGCTGGGCTGGGCTGGGCTTGGCCGGGCTGTGATGTGATGTGATGCGCAAGGTGATGCGCCATGGATCCTCGGGTCGAAGTGTTGATCAAGGGTTGAAGCAGGAGTCCACCCTCGTCGGAAAGCGAAAAGGAGCCACGAGAGTACACCCTACGAAAAGGGAACCGGATGCACACAAACACTACGGTGGATGGATCGATAGATCCATACATAGCTTAGAGAGAGAGAGAGAGGGAGAGGGAGGGAGAGAGAAGGGAGGGAGGGGAAAATGTTGGTATGTGGAAAAGTGCATCATGTCGAATAATATTCCATTACTCATACTGGGAAAAGCGGGGAATGTCCAGGCTCGGCAAACGGATGTGTCATGAGAGAGTTACCGGGGGTCGGGGTGGGATTAGGCCGAGCGAGCACCTTGGGATCAGGACTCGGGGCATGAGTCGGGAGTATTCGGAGTATTCGGAGCCCAAGTGTCATGGTGGGCATGGATGGGCCCTGCTCGCTCTGCCCGCAGGTTCCAATCTGGACAGGTGGGAGGCGCGCATCGGAAGCCATGCGGGCGAAGAATCGCGCTGCGAGATATGCTTCTATTCGCCTCCCTCGGTCGCACCTCGATGCCCGGCAGTGCACGTACCGACGCCGGCCGCCGGACGGGCCACATCCCGGACGCCATCCAAGCTCCGGCCGACGACCGGGCGAGCGAGCGAGAGCCCAGGCCGGGCCATATGCCTACGCGGTTGGGGTCCGGGTCCGGGTCGGGGTTGGGGTAGATACGCCGGTGGCATTCTTAAAGTGTTGACTGCCGACATAGGGTACTGTAGTGCATGAGGGCCAGTGTGTCCCAGCCGGGCAGCGGGTCAGTTGGGTGCTGCGTGGATCCAGCTCAGTTTAGCGGTCCCCCTAAATCTGGCGTGGCTGCCTGAGAAGATAACGGTGGCGAGGCGCAGGTGAGCGCGACGGACCCGTCCCCAGTCGCGTCGCCTCCAGCACAAAAGACAGACGAAATGCGCTGCAAGTAACAGCCGAGCACCAGCCAGCCCCAAGCTCCGGCAGCGAAGGAAGGAGGGAGGGAGAGAGGGAGAGAGAGAGAGAGAGAGAGCCTTCGAGGACGAGGCCACGAGAGAGAAAAAGACAGAGGGCCGAGAGGAGACGAGAGACGAGGCGAGGCTCGACCTTCCGACGTCTCGACTGCCGCTCGCTGCCTGCCTGCCTTGTCTGCCTGCCCGCCCGCCTGCCTGCCTGTGCGTGCTTCTTGGCTGCTGTGGAGCGCTCGCCCGCTCGGTCGCTCGCCTGCCTTTCGTTGCGTTGCCTTGCTTTGCCTTGGCTTGCCATGTTTGACGACGAGGAAGACGAAGACGAAGGAGGAGGGAGGGACGCAGGCTCGCAGGCCCGGGCGGAATCTGGCATCAATTCGGGACGATAGGAAGAGTTGGAGAGAGAGAGAGAGAGAGAGAGAGAGAGAGAGAGAGAGAGAGAGAGAAGAGAGAGGGAGAGGGAGAGGGAGTGATCTGGTGTGGGAGAGTGTGTGGGCGCGTCGTGGCGATCGAGGAGGAATCCGTGGATGTTGATTGAGGAAGAGCAGGAGCCCGAAGCTTGCTCGGGTGAGCGCGACCTGTGAGAGTTTTTGGGTGCGTGCGTGCGAGTGAGTGCTTGAGGGTTGGTTCTTTGGTGGTGCGAGCCCGGCGTGCGTTGTGCATCGATCAGATCAGATTTGAGTTGTTTCTTTTGGTTTGGAGTTCGTTCTAGGGTACTCGATGCTGGTGACGGGGTGCTGGTGATGGTGGTGCTGGTGATGATTTTGGTCGAATGAGTTCCCGGGGCGTTGCTGGTGGGACGTAGTTTTTTTTTTTCTTTTTTTTTCTTTTGTTTCCGAGACGAATTGTCATGTTTCCATGAGGTAGACGATGTTGGACGCGCTTGCTGCTGCTTGGAGGATGATTCCTCCGTTGGATCATGATTTGAGCTCAGAGAGGAATTCGCAACGTGTGCCTTCGTTGCGGGCGTGAGAACCCGATTGGAAGACCAGACTGGCCGGATGCGTGCCTGAAACTCAGGCCCGGCAAAAATCGCCGGAGAGGGTGAAAGGGGTGGGATTTAAGGGGGGATGCATGACAAGGTGAGGTTTGAATGCATGCTCTGTGCTGCATTTCCCCTGTTCCGCTGGAGAGGGAATCGCATCCTCTCACGTTGTCTGACGAGCAATCCACAATTGCCTTCCCGATGGACCAGCAAAATAACCACAAGGCTTCTAAACCCCCCATTAACTACAAGAACGGGTCCTCTTCTCCTCTTATGACCAAGGCGTATAGTAGTGTCGCTCCCCCCTATCTTGAGAGCGTCGTAGACCACGATGAAAACAGGTCGTTGGCTAGATCTACTACTGGGCTATCGGTGGGAGAGGGGAGCATGAAGATTGGGATGTCCGGAGACTTAACCATCTCAGTCGAGTCTAGAGGATGTACAAACTCCAGCACCAATGTGGGGGGCATTTTGTATAAATGGGTCAATTATGGTAAGGGGTGGAGGCCCCGCTGGTTTGTACTGCAGGAAGGTGTGCTTTCGTACTACAAGGTACATGGGCCGGACAAGGTTTCAGTTAATCATGAAAGACACAAGGGACTGCGAGTGATTGGGGATGAGGCGCAGCGTCTTCAGAGGAAACAGAGGAATGCGAATGTTGATGAGAAGAGGCCCCGAAAACCTTTCGGAGAGGTACATCTGAAGGTAAAATCTGTGCAGATCTGGACAGTTGATTATCTCGGAATTTGATAGGATCCGACTTGTCATCATCCGAGAAGTAATTTCATCATTCAACTGAGAGTCTTCCTCTGGAACCTTGTCCCCGTGCAATTCACCATAATATCCGCTCAGTCATGTATAGGGTCAGCTACCTATCTTCATGTGGAAACTCGTTTGTGTTGGTAGAGCATACTTGCTTGGATCAGTTAGACGTTTCTCTTTCTTAAGAGCTTTCTTTCTCGTGTATCATCTCCTTCGGAATTTCAGCACAAATTGAATCCAATGTCTGTTAGGGGGACCAAACGGACCAAGCGCACTTTGATGCCTGATCTGATGCAAGTATGTTCTTTGAGCTCAGTCTGAATTAATAGGATGATGTTCACCGTTATCGGCATGTTGGCTTCCCAGATGTTCAACCTACAGGCTACTTTGTATGGTCTTATTCCTGATTTCATCACAAAGTCTCAGTTTTGTCAGTTTGGCGCCAAACCACCCGCCTTAGGAATCGAAAGCATTACATCTGAATCTATTCTTAACGGGCCGCGATCAGCCTTAAATAGGTGAAAAGTAAAGAAGATTCATATCGGATAGCAGCCGGTTTATTGAATTGATCAGGGTTTGGTGTTATGACATAGATGAGTTGAAACATTGCAGAGGCTGCACAAGCTTTTTTTAGAGGCCGTGTGGCAGTCTTCCTGGGTTTGCATCTGTTTCAAGCTTTTATTGAATCTGGACAGTGGAAACGTAAATCAACTCCATGATCTTGCTGTAAGCAACAGCATCGGTGCCTTCCTCACATGTGTGGCACTGCTTATAAGTAGGATCAATTTGTTCAATTTGTGGATGCCCAAAGGTTTTTGAAACTTGTGCTGAATTTTCCTATTTAGAAAGGCGGGGGCTTCTGATTTTAGCAGTTTTTTGTCATCCTTTCTCTAAAAGAGTGTTGCAGTATAGTTGGGATTTATGCAAACTCGAAATAAATCTGAAACCGGATAGTTTTCCATAAAAAAAAATCCCTTTCGTTCTTTTATGTATTCATAACAGGACCAAACTCTTGTGAATCGTGTACAGGTCTCATCTCTTCGTGAAAGCAAGTCAGACGATAAGAAGTTTTATATTTACACAGGAACGAAGACCCTTCACCTTCGAGCTGAAACCAAAGAAGATAAAATTATCTGGTTGGAAGCTTTGCAAGCTGCGAAGGATCTGTTTCCTAGGAACTCTCTTATATATGGACTTGCACCTCCTCCTGAGGAAATTAGTTTAGGTACGGAGAAGCTGAGAAAGAGGCTTCTGGATGAGGGTCTAAGTGAAGAACTAGTTTTAGAATGTGAACAAATTATTCTTTCGGAGTTTTCTGAGGTTAAAGATAAGTTCAACACTCTTCAGCAACGGCGGATACACCTTTTGGAGCGCTTAAGGCTGCTTGAGGTAAGTTTGTTCACATCCAATAAACCTGCCATTTGTGTGTAATCATCACACGCCTGCGGAATTTTTTGGTGACCTAAGAGTTTTTCATTTGTCTGTGTATCATTTTTCGGTCAAATTTGAGCCTCAAGAATTCGAAGACTTGTAGCATACTTTCTTTAGTGACATGGTTTGATTTTCATTCCACCACGTCCAAAGCCAGATAATCATTTCTGATTGTAATGGTTCTTCATTGTGCGCAATTGAAGGCTGAGAAAGTGGAGTTGGAGACAACAGTTGTAGATGAAATGCAGAGTCAAGGAGGCCACGCCAGTGGTCGGGGACTCAAATACCATGGTAACATCTCAGGTTGCTATACATTCTTTCACGACTTGCAATGTACCTTTCCAGATAACAAGTGCTTTAGGATTCCACGAAGTTGGTTTCTGGGGATTCGTTTTTGTTACTGAAGGCAAGACGTCATCTTGAAACCTGTTGAAAGTGAAGTTTTATCGAACTTTACAATGTTTTCTGTTACCACCGCACGTTTCCAGTCTACAGTTTAGTCGTGAGGCAGTTGGTACAGGACTCATGAGTGGAAATGTGTTTCTAACAGGAAGCGAGACGGATGATTCCGATGATGAAGCGGACAAGAGTGGGGGAATGGAGATCGACAGTGATGAAGAGGATGAAATATTCTTTGACACCAAAGAAACTCTAGGCTCGTACCGTACATCGTCATCTGATATCTCATCAGAATTATCTGAATTGGACGAATCTGGTGATATGGAGCTTGTTGGGTTTAATTATCCAAAAATACAGAGGCGGACGAAACTGCCTGAGCCAAAGGAAAAGGAGAAGAGCGTAAGCTTGTGGTCTATGATAAAAGATAATATTGGCAAAGATCTTACAAAAGTTTGCTTGCCAGTGTATTTTAACGAACCTATTTCTTCATTGCAAAGGTGTCTTGAAGATTTGGAGTATTCATATCTACTGGATCGAGCTCAAGTCTTTGGAAAGCAGGTAGGTCGATGTTGTAATATTTGTATCTTCAGCATCGGCTTATCCGCTAGATTCATTATCACAGATCGTCTTGAAGGTTTGCTACGGACTACCAATGCTGGGAAATGCGCTTACTTTAATATTTCTTTATGCGATCCGTGAAGTTTGTCTTTTTCGATCTCGAGAGGTTTCTATTCTTATCTGTATATACCCTTTGTCAGGATTGCAACTAAGACTGTGTTAAAAAATGTTCAGGGCAACAGCTTGTTGAGATTGCTACACGTTGCAGCGTTTGCCGTGTCTGGTTATGCATCTACGGAGACTCGTACATGTAAACCTTTCAACCCGCTTCTTGGAGAAACATACGAGGCAGACTTTCCCGACATGGGCCTTCGATTCTTTTCGGAGAAGGTATGTTTCTTACTTTTTAAACGTATCTAGTTTGGTCCCTGGTTTCCTGGATGTCGTGATATCAGTCATGCATGTCCATGATCTGGAGTTTTGTTCACACCGTAGTGAATGATCATGAAGGTTAGGATCTCAAACTCTATCATCGGTGAAGAAGATCAAATCTCAAGTTCTTCCAGTGTCGAGTAGACTAAGATGGAAATAAGATTCATGAAGCGAAAGTAGCGAGACAGAAGGATGACGCCAAGAGGGACGGCGAGATGTTTCACTAAATTTGGGCTTCGCGAATGAAAATTCAGATAGAATTGAATTGTTCTGAGGTTTTGTCGACCTTATCGACAATAGTGTTGATGGAAATGAACAAATTGAGCTGAGATTAAAGAGGTCTTCAATAACGTGTCCTAATATTGGCAGTTTGAGCTCATCAACTGTCTTGCAGGTAAGCCATCACCCCATGATTGTAGCATGTCATTGCGATGGCAGAGGTTGGAAATTTTGGGGTGACAGCAATTTGAAGAGCAAATTCTGGGGCCGCTCTATTCAGTTAGATCCTGTCGGTACTCTGACGCTTCAATTCGAGGATGGAGAAGAGTTTCAATGGAGTAAGGTACTGGTTTTTACTGTTCATCACCTTGAGCAGTTTTCTTCACCTTTTCTTTCATGCATCATTTTCCCTCGAGGCTTACAGAATTCAGCAAACCTATTCTTCCTATGCAAGTGGGCCGAGTTTGAAGTCTTCAGTTGCTACCAGCTAACCTTATCAACAACACCTCGTAGAACTTTTTGTACACTTGATTAAATAATGCAAAATGTTTTACAACTGTCGTGTTACAGTCTTAGGTTAACTATTCCTGTTCATAGGACCTCTCTTGTATTTATGTTTGACTCAGGAGTGCAGGGTATGCAATCATGGTTTTGTTGAATTGTAGAACAGTTCGTCCCCGTGATAGTGGCCTTGTGTCATTTGCAGGTGACAACATCAATATATAATCTTATCCTAGGAAAGTTGTATGTGGACCATTATGGAACAATGCGAATAACAGGAAATCGAGATCTTTCCTGCAAGCTCAAATTCAAGGAGCAATCTATCATTGATCGCAATCCTCACCAGGTCGATTCCTCGCACTAACGTTTCTGGATATAGTCAACACATCTTTCACCTGGGTTTGTTATTTAGCATGAGTGTCATGATGCTTTGAATGATATTTGTACCTTCTGTCGATGTCATCAAAATATAGGCAATATCTGCTCTATCAAGTTGTGCTAGCTGTTTTTATGAACTAATGGTTGTTTGTAGTGTGTTCTCTCAAACAGGTTCAAGGGTATGTGCACGACAAAAGCGGTGAAAAGCTGGCGACACTCTTTGGCAAGTGGGATGAAAGCATGTACTATATCATGGGAGATCTAGCTGCTAAACCTAAGCATTATGATCCAATGTCAGAAGCTATCCTACTGTGGAGACGGAATCCACCTGCTGAGAATCCAACGAGATATGGATTCTCCTCATTTGCTATAGCTTTGAATGAACTCACACCGGGTTTGAAGGTATGTGCCCCTAATACTCCAGTAAATTGTCGCGGTGTCGTCTGTCTGCCACATCCTCCTTGTTACGATCGCCCAATATAGAAGGGTCGGTTCCTTGAAAGCAGTTTTGATTTGCTGTCAGTGTAATCATTTGATTGGATTGCACTTACCAGGCAGTCCGAGCAGTTTATCAGAGTCAACTATCGTCTACTATATTTTCCTCTTCGCAGTGTTTTTGAGAAGATACCGTTTTTTGTTAGTTCTTCAGCTTGGTTAAATTTGTGGTGACACAAATTCAACGTTGTGAATGATCTGTTATCACTAGCTAAACCGGAAGACGATGATTGATTGAGCAGGAGAGGCTGCCACCCACAGATTCTAGATTAAGACCTGATCAACGGCATCTTGAAAATGGGGAGTATGAAGATGCTAATTCGGAAAAACTGCGGTTGGAGCAGAAGCAACGGCGTGTAAGTGTGCCGAACCGACTTGCTTTCAGTCTCGTCTAATGGGCAACTGCGGTTTCCTTTGTGCATTTCGTTTTTTTCCTAGCTTTAATATTTTGGATATCGGATAGTACTTTGTGGGATCGATTACCCACTGCCACATGCAAATGGATTCCTTCCTACTCCCGTCATGAGAAGCGCAGACAATATAGGCCAGCTTATTCCCATTTAAATAGAGCAGGAACGTGATCGGATGATGTCGAAGAAGTTATTGAGGAAAAACGATGAAGAGCTATTTATATTCATACTTGAAGCCCGTCATGCTCCACAGGCTTCGCAACTGCAGGAGAAAGGCTGGCAACCCCACTGGTTTCGCAAGGAGAAAGGGAAGGATACATTCCAGTACACAGGTGGTTACTGGGAAGCCCGGAAAGATAGCAACTGGAAAGATTGCCCGGACATATTTGGACCAGACTTGCCAGAGATGCCTGCCGAGTGAGGTATCTCATTAATTTTGTCAAATTCTATAGAGATTGGCTCAATAAATGTTTGAGCTTTCCCGAGATTCATACTCTTGCAACCACCCACAGTGTTGCTCATAAATTTTGACTTCATGTTGTGCTGAGCCAAGAGCCATTCATCGTTTCCAAAAGTTGTCCATCAAATGGCCAGACATTTCTGTTGTAAGGCTACTCACTATCTAGTACAGACTGGACGGACTTTCTGATACTAATAAACAGAACATTTCCCTGAGCCCATCTTTTTATTTCATGGCTAGTCATGCCTTAATATGTCACGACATGATTATCGTGGCAAGCACACTTGATATCAATACAGTCACCCATTGATCTCCGAATTTCTTACGGTAGAATCTTAGAGAAAGGGATTTAGATTTCTATAGTAACCTTACCTAAACCAACTTTTAGACATACGGTCAATGAGCAAATTTCCGAAATTTGCCCATGATGTCATCAGTCCAGTGTATCTCCGTGTTTGCGCATGATTGTGTTAGGAGTTTTCACGGAGCTAGAATGTCAATGTGTCCACATGGACAGCGCGAGAAGCTGTGCAGTATTGTGTGCACCACCTTCGGAGCAATGTAAATCTACACATGCACCACTAGGTGTTGAATTCAGAGTCAGATTTCATCATCGCGTTCGCTGCGCCTCTTGTATCTGCGCTCATGTCCATGGAGGAAAATTTTTTCTGTGATCATTGTTTCTGGTCCAGGCTCTCCTCTACTTGAAGTATGTTTCTGCTTCATATCAATTCACACAACAGTGATAAATGTTTGGTTCATGAATATTTTGCCTTTAACCATTCTTTTTGGTTCATCGATATTCTCGCACGGGCTCTCCTTTCCTTGAAGTTCATTTCTGCTTCTCTTCAACGCTCATGAAACTCAAAACACATGCTGGGAATGACACTGTCCGTGCTTGGACAACTTGCCTGGCACCAGAAACTTGATCAAACCCTGACATGAACGATTGCAGATTCGTCTCAATTTTGAGTACTCTATCGCTTTTTTTCGTCTCGTCTGTACTGTATCTGTAAAACTTTTGTTAGCACTCCCACTACTTACTTGTCAAGTATAGGATTACAAGTCACGACGATCCTGCTCTCTTATTAGGGGTTCTTAAGTTTTGCAAGGTCAGGAACTGGAAGTTTTTCCGGAAATCGGGAACAACGTAGTGGGATTCGGGAAGTTTGGGAACCAGTTACGGAATCGTTAGTAGCCGGATGAAAGTCAATATGAAAAGGGGTAAGTTACATAGTCAGGGAAAAACAAGAGCCAGGCAGGGTGAGAGGGAAAGGGATGTACGGGGTGGAGGGCTAAGTTAGTCACTGTGTGATACAAATTGAAAGGAAGGTAGGGAAGTGTACAACCTGGTTAGTGCCAAAACTCAAGCTCACAAGAAGCAACAATGAGTTTCCAGCGTCATTTACTTACTAGAGATGGTCATTTTACAAAGTCTTTCATGGCTCTTATGTCGTTGTATTGATAATTACATATTTCAACCGAAGAAGTGGCGTACTTAAGTGTTGCCGTAGTTTCGTGCATGTACATCGGAGAGAGTCTATTTGTTTCAAGATATTATTCAAATTATAGCCTATATGTCTCATAAAACCTTGAAAATCATTTTAGGAGTAATGATGAAAATGGTATGTCTTCTCAGGAAACATTCTGATGATAGACGATGTGTTACCTTATGTCGTGCTAGTGTTAAGTTGTTTGCAATATATTGTCCGTTTGAGTCTATTTAGGAACAGAGATTACTTATGGAATTGTTCTTGTATGTACAAAGCTTTGAATCATTGCCATTCAGGTTTGGCAAACCATATTATCGCCGATCATGCGAGAGTTCGAGAATTTTTAATCGATTTGCAAGGAGTAGGTTTGAGGTTGTATATTTGGTTGATATAACTCCAAGTTGTCACAAACCATTCCATTTTACTTCAAAATTAACAAGATCACTCTTCGTACATTCAAGATGTTACAGTGGCGAGAAGAAGATGATGTACATCAATGAGAATTAAAAAACTCGGATCTTAATGTATGTCATGTTTGAAAAGAGACAATTCTCCTCGAAAGATGTTGATACATTATATGAGCTTTTGGTATAAATCAATGAGAATTGAAAAACTCAGATGTTAATATATGTCATGTTTGAAAAGATACAATTATCCTGTAAGGATGCTGAGAAATCATATGAGCTTTTAGTATACATTAAGTTCTTCTGGAGAGAGATGTTGATAATTAGATGACTTCTTGTGTTTATTTAACAAATCATTGATGTCTTGTCATAATTATGACAATCTTAATGTTTGACATTAGCAATGGAGTGTAATCAAAGAGAGATATTTGCAAGAGAAGATAGTCATTTTTATGGTTGGTGTGTCGTGAGAACATGTCAGCTATGTATGTTGTATGACAAATATGTATCGTCATACATGTTATACTCACACACACATATACAGATGTACACATACATAGATTTATCACAACTCGCCCCCCTAGCGGGCGGTAACTCCAAGATAGCACCATACATCTACACTATGACATACACCTTCCTTTGTGCGAAGATCAATATGCCAGATGCAAAAGAAGCCATATCGTTAGTCGTCTATCTACAATCCATGTCATGTGTAGATCGAATGATCTATTGATCTAAATACATCGAGGACAAAACCATCGTCCACCAGAAACAACATCAGTAGGATGAGTTAAGCACGACATGTGTCAAACTAGAACACATGTCACATGATAACATACGGCTAACGTCACCAGCTGAACCACACAACATACATCTCAAGCTAGCCCGTATTACGGCTACACTTGGATTCACTCTACCATCAATGTTTGGAAGTTGGCATGATGCACAATTGTGCACATGATACCTCCACACAATCCCATCACAATCCTTTAACATGAGAACCTCAGAAGATAACAACTCTCGCACTCGTAAGATAGTTCATCCTGTCGTCACATCCAATGTAGTCGGTGCAATCTATTGTAAATAGACGTAGTTTCTCACATGGAACCTACGAATTGATGATCGATAACCTCCACCGAATGATTGCGAATGATTGCATACCGTAACGTATTTCCATGCTAAGCAATTGCAAGGTTCTCAAATGTTGCGGGCATGATATTTCGAAAGAGCTTTGCACATTGATAACATACTCTCACTCATATGTCTGAATCAACAAGATTCATCACCTTACTAGATTCACAACGGATTGTTGTCGACAAGTCTGGATCTCGGTCGTACAATAGAAAATATGTTGAGAAGTAAGCCAAGGATGCTTGATGACTGAATCGATATTCCATGACCAATCATGATAACTGAATATTACAATTTTCAAGATGCTACTTCTGTAGGTCATATTTGCACAACGTACTTTTCACTGTCTGTACAACACGTTTAGCCAAATCATTTGACTCCGAATGATCTCGAGACGTGATTTGATGATCAATCAGCACCTTGTCACATAAGACCTGAAACTCTGTACAGTAATTGATCAACTTTGATGCACCAAAGTGACTAAACATCATGTCAAGCAAAGCATACGTTGCTTCTTCACTCGCCTTGTCAAGTAATGTCACCAACTCAATCCACTTAAATGATCGATCATCACCAACACATACCGATGTTAAAAGTAGTGATTCAGCAAAGTTTAAACTCCAACGGTAATCCAACCCCATGATAGATAAGGGGTGTAATTTTGATCTTGGAGTATTGAATGATGTACTTACTCGATCACAAACCATGCAACGTGATATCAATTGTTGTACTTGAGTATGTAACCACGTCACCAATACAAATCATGAATTAAGTTGTATGTACGCTTCACTTCAAAGTGTCCCAACTCCTCATGAGCATGTGGCACGATGCGCGCTCTTTGAGCTAGATGCGATATCACTTATACCCTACCATACTCTCACACTTGGAGAATATATGTTACCTTCAACTGATATTTCTTTGCATGTTGGAGAACATGGTCTTGCTCTTTGGCACTCATTATGCCTACCACCATACTTGTCCGTGGGAACTTCAATACTAATGCATCATTGTGAATATCACGCTGATTCATCACACCATCTTCAAGCTCAAGATCTAAAGATTCACCATCCACTCTTTGATTAGAGTAAGATGTCAAATGGTACTCAATACTAGAGTCTCCACGTAACAAACACAAGAAGTTAGATGCATGCCAACTGTACACCATTTCCTCATCAATCTCACCATGCCATCTAGCTCCACTCCCATCCTCATGGCTAACGCGTGGATTCCGACTCAAATCATCAGCATCAAGGTTTGCAACTCTAAGTCTATGCACCACCTAAAATCGTACTCATGTAATATGAGAATCTACTGTGCAAGCTTTCTTGTGAGCTTGTCGAACTTCGTCAACCATTTGAGCAACTGATGATTAGTAACAAAGTTAAATTGCGTACCAAACAAGAAACACCTGAAATGTGCCACAGCCCACACTGCTGTCAAACACTCTCCCTTGTACGAACTATACCGCGACTCCGCTACATTGTTTGAACAACTAGCATACGCAATCACAAACTTGTTACACTCATCATCACGTTGCGTCAACACATCTCCAAGTCCCAACGTAGTTCAATTAGTGCGTAATTAGTATGAAAGACCTCTAATGGATCTTTTCAAGATGAAAGCGACCATCAACTTGGTCTTGAGCTCAACGAAAGCTCTCTCTTGTTCATCTCCTCATTGTCACTCATGATTTGACTTTAACTGGTCCAAAGACTTGGCTATAGCACTAAACCCTTTCACATACTTTCGATAGTAGGTCACCAAATCCATGAATGCACAAACTTTACTCACATCCGTTGGACTTGAGATACGTGAAATAACCTCAACCTTTGCTTGCTGACTTCCAAATCATCTAAATATATCACATGACCAAAATACTCAATAATCTCCAAGAAGAATTTATACTTTCTCGGATGTAGATGAAGATCATGAACCTTCAACCGCTTAAACACAATCGGCAAATGAATCTAGTGTTGCTTTACCGTGTCATTATACACCAAGATATCATCAATGTAACATCTGAAAAAATCCGGCCCCGCTGGGATCTTGTTCATAACTCTCTGAAACTCGTCACGTGCATTCTTCAACCCTAAAGCTAAGAATCATTATTAATACAAACAATCCTTGACGTGGAAGTTGACGCCCAAAAATGTTGTCTTGGCCTTGTCAACTAATAATATCTTGCTCAAAGATCCAAAGTTCTGAAAATCCTTACATATCCCATCACATTGAAGATCTATTTAGATGTAGGCATGGCATAATTATCGGACTTCGTCTATCAATTGATATGATGGTAGTCTCCACACATTTGCCTATTTGTGTAGTTGTCATGTACATATTTCTTTGTCGGTATGACAGTGGCTGACGCATACTCATCATGCAACAACTCCACTAACCCAACCTCCACTAGGTGCAACTTCCTACTTTGAATCAAATTTCTCGTTATATCATTATACCGATAGGGACGACAAAATATTGACGTACCACTAGCCAATTCCATTTGTATGCTATGTTCAATCAAAGCATCCAACTCCTTCATGTTGAAGGCAAAACACTTTCTATATGCACGTAGGAATTGTATCAATAGTAGTCTCTCTCCTCCTATGATCTGTGAACCAATCAATGGCT